ATTGTTGGTGGGGCAGGATCTGTGGACGGTTAGACCAGCAGGGGGGAGCTAAGATCATCCCAGGGGGTCGACGAATTTGTTTAGCTGTAGTTCAGCAGGAGCGTAGATGGGGGACGGACATGATTGGAGGGTGTAGACTGATCCTAGTGGTAATCTGCATCTCATCCCTCATCTGGGATCTTCAGAGAGCAGATGTAAACTCAGACCGGAGGACCAGCAGAAAGTTGAGGAGAGACGGCAAAAACGAGCTGAATCAGGAGCAAACATGGATTTATCGCTATTGTTTGGGACTGAGAAGATTTTGCGGCCCAGCTGTATACCATGGGAGCTGCACGGAGCTGAAACAAACAGAGGTACAGCAGCCATGCATTCCATTTTGTACCAGGGTCGGAAATGTAATGATAGTCAAAATTCACCAGCTGTCATCCACCTCCGACCTCCATGTCATGCAGCTGCACTGCAGTAATTTTTGATTTATGTGCCTGTGTTTCTTCGGCCTTGTAATCTGATATAAGTGGATATGCATATACCGTGCATTCATTTAACCTTCGTGATCAGCAATATGTGGATATCTGAGCCTAAAGGCCTCTCCTCGATTTGAAAGGACGATGCATTTCTGTTTGTGCGTAAGTGTGAGTGAGTTTGGACGTAAGCAAAAACACACACTGAATGATACATTCAGTAATTAAGTAATTAGGTTTTATGTCACCGGAGACATAGCTATATTCTGAAACAGAAAGTGGACAGGCATGAATGAAAATATGGTTTTGGTCTGTGTAATAGTACAACAATCAGAGTCCTTTTTCATGTATTTCTACAGCTGAAACTCTTAATAAGCTATTCAGAAAAAACTACTTGATTTACACAACAATTTATTTGTATTGTGTCATCTCTCTAATGGTTCTAATCAGTATGTTCAGTCTGCTTAAGTGTATTTCTATGAGCTAGATGGCTTTGCCATTTACTGATGTTATTAATCACTAAACGATCTTGTTTGATAATGAGCTGATGGGATCCAGTGGCAGCCAGAGGCAGTGAGATTTGAAGTCCAAAATCTGAGGACACTATAACTGTGAGATTACTTGGTCTAATGCTTCTACTTTTATTGTTTTACTTCACATGAAATTCAGACATTGAATTATTTCTGAATGCATTCATGTGAAAGAATACACCCATAAGAAAATGTTTATATTGTTCTAAGTGCTTTAGTTTAGCTATCAGGATGCTCGTGCCATTGAATTGGTGCTGAAAGTAGCGTGCTGTGACACAGCCTTTAATTGCCAACATCAGTTGTGGTTTGGTGGTTTCCCTTTCTCCCTGTAATCGAAACTATACCAAAGGATTTTAGCTTCAATTTTACTCTGACTTTTTAAAAAAAATTCTTTCAAACGGATTAACATTAAAACCAAAGGTCGAAAGCTCCTATGTTGCTTAGCAACCTCAGGGGGATGTAATTCTCAGGAGTATGAATGGTTGATAGGTTAATCCCAGTTGCTCGTTTCGGCTTTGCCATTGCGCAAGACTCACTGTCAGGACTTAACTAACGCTAACAGAGAAGAGCTTCACAGTTTGGAATAAATCACAACTCTTTCCTAAATAGTGCATATTCATAACAAGAATTTACTCAAAACATTTGAAACACTACTTTGATTTCAACTGAGAGGAAAAAACATTTTTCTAAATGCATTTATGGTTAAAGACCATTTATTTGAGTATCAGACTCAAAGTTTATCATTGGGATTTTGAACTGAAAACAGCAGAGGTGTCTTTTTTTTTTTTTTTTTTTTAGATATGAGCCTCCTGCATTTTTCTGTATTGTTCATGAAACTCTGTCTTCAGACAGACCTTTGAACAGCAACATTTCTGTATTCTCTGATTTAAAAAAAGAGTTGCACATGATATTGTTGCGCATCAATTAGAAATTGATATGAAGTTATATCAATCACCTCACCAGAAGGAAGACATCAACCTTAACATTTTCTGTCATTATACATTTTTTAATAAGGTTTGTTTGTGTTTTTGGCATCGTACAGATGCCAAAAACTGTCTGATCTACTTAAATTTCAAACCTCATTATCAAAATGGTATGCTTAACCTCTTGGCACCAAGAGCTTGATGCCAAACAATAAAAAGAATACAGCATTAATTGGTGGTCTTCTTTTCAATGCACGGTTTTGATATTAAACTGGCTTTAACATTTAGAAAAATATAAATAATGATAGAATAGTCTCTTACATGAGCTGGTGAATCTTTTTGTTCTTTCTGTTAAATCAGATTAATCCAAATTCATTTGACATTCTCTGTGTTACATGAAGATAAACCCACAAAGGAACATACCAGTAGTTTAATAGATACTGCAGCATTTCATGAAACAATCACTACCTGACCTCTGCAACTCATTTGATGCAGCTGGGTTTAGAGTAATTTACTGTATTTTCCCATGCTCCCTAGCTCAGTAAGATGAGGCCAAACCATTTATCGCAATAGCATGAGCCTGTAAAAGGCTTTATCAGGCAAAAAGGGGACAAGAAGCCCCTCTCAAAGATCCAGTAGCTGGTCTTTCTCAGTTCCTGGATGTTTGAAGAGGAAAGAAGAGGAGACACAGCTGGAAACATGGACCTGTTAAAAAAAATGATCTTAGATCAAATGTTTTCTTTTTATGTGATGTAGTAAATATGATTATTATTGAGACATACAAATGATGATATTAACAGTGTCCTCAAATGAAACTTTAATTGAATGGATATTGATATATTGGCTTTAAAATAAAGTTAAGTGTGATTTGGATTATTGTGCAGACTTATTAAAGATTAAACCTATAAATCAATTTAGATACTGAGGTAATCTTCAGATTCACAGATGCACTCTCTCCTCCAAATCTTACACAATAACGTTCATGGCAGGTTGTCCTCTAGCCTTGAAATAGCAGCTCTTTTGGCTTTTAAAATGAAATAGATTAAGTTGGCCAGGTGCTGAGAAGTGTCTTGGGAGGTCTGCCTCCAGAAAAATGGAGCAAAAGGAAGCAAAATAAGCATCTGAGCCATTAATTAATCAGACAACAATGTGGAGGAAGAGGAAACTGATGAGGGTCTCCAGTCAATGCTGTTCTGTCTCTTGAGAACGCCGTGCCCCAAGGAGAAAAGAGCACCAATGATTTTGCAATGTTAACACTCTACAGATATGGCTTCCAGTTCCTCTTTTAAAAAGTGTAACTCTGCGTCCCAGTCCGCTCCTCCTGTTTTACCATTTTTAAGTCCCTTTGACTTAGTGGTCTCTCACTGCAGTCTGCCCAGCGGAGCACAAGCCGTACGCGTCTGGAAACTCCTCTGCCCCTATTGCTGCTGTTAGTCTCCTGGGAAAAAGCCTCAGCGGATCGAACGAATGCTGATCACTGACGCAGAGCCACGCAGGGACAGACTGTGACAGAACGAGAGAGAATATCTATCACTGCAGTTACAGTACGGAGACAGGAGAGGAATCTTAATAATCCTGAGGAAAAAATTCCTTTGAGAGAATAGCACCAGATGAGTTGTGGGATTTGGAGGGTTTTAAAACTTGGAGAAGGGGCTGATTGATGAAGAAGGATGCGGGGAGGGAGAGCAGAGAGGGAGAGGAGAGGCTGTTGGACTCGGTGCAAAGCTGCAGCCCTGCAGGCGGCGTGTGAACGGCATGCTCGATAAAGACTGCACACACTGACACACAGAGAAAGAAAGCCTGTGTCGCTCTCAGCAGTACAGCTAATGAGATGACATCAATCACTCAGTGGACCACTAAGCCAGTGAGCCATTATCTATTCTTTCAATGTACAGCATCACACAGAAGGCCAGTTTCCCTGGTAGGTGGAGGTGGTGGAGCCTATGCTTTATCCGTAATTGTGGCCAGCAGCAAAACTCCTGACAACAAAACAACGTGAGGATGAAAAGATAAAGGCTGCTCTAATTAAACAAAAATAAAGCTAGAAATAGCTATGGGCCTTAAATAAAACAACACTCTTACATGCCAATGTTTTTTTATTTTATGAATAGCACAATGATATCCAATGCAGATTCTGCTGCCACAAAATGGATTTTAACAGAAATCTGACTGTTAAGGGGGCAGCAGCCAATTACAGTTTTATATCTTCTTTTGAGACCAGGTTTTTTTTTTTTTTTTGCAATTCTCAACTGTATGGAAGTTTCACATGAAATGATATGTTTGTCACATATTTCATGACTCACACAAATTGTTTTATTGATTAATTAATAATAATAATTAATAAGCACCAATTAATAATTGTGAAAACAACTGTTTCGCCATTATTGGCAGAATTTTGATAGCAAACCTTAAACGTGTGTCCTCTCGCTTATATACACTGTTTTGCTGGATAAAGAAAGAAAAATAAAGGAATGAAGGAAAAAAGTATGCTACCCCTATGCTCCTTAAAATGTATATTGTATAACGCAGTGGACGCTATATAACAGATAGCAACCCCCTTCTTGTGTTCCCTGAATGGTGTTTGGACTTTTACAGACTAAATGCTGACTGACACTTTGATTTTGATCTCTACACTTTTGGTTTAGAAGTGGGGATGTTTTAACACTACATAGTGCAAGGTGTCTTTTAATTGATTCTCTGCGATGACTTGACATTTAACTAAAATTATTGTTTATAATAAACCGTCGTGCTAACAGTTTTTGATTGTAACAAGCCAGGTTTGTCATAGTATGTAAAATACTTTTTTAACAGTCAATAGCAACTGCCAACAGCAGTATAGCTGAGTGATTAATAGGAATTACATGAAAATCTATTCAAGTCAGAAAAAGAGACAAACTTCCTGTGAACACAATATTTTGTGGGATGAATGACAGGCAGTTTAATAAGATTTGAAAAAAGCAAAGGAAATATTAAAATATATATTTTTTTTCGACCGAAACTTGTAGACTGTATGAAGATGACTTATGTCGAACAGTTAATCATTGATTTTAATTATTTGAATTTTGAGTTCAGCATTATGATGAATAATGACCTCCGGCACACAGTGGATGGTGGACCTGACTCAGAACCAGACAGAGGTTTGAATCTTGCCATTATACAATTTAAAACACGTCCAGATTATATTATCCTTGAATGCCTCATTTTACTTCAAATGAAAACATAACTTTTAATGAAGAACCTAATAAGTATGTTAACCGAAATATTTTCCAATAGATTTCGATGGAGACAGATTTCTTTTTGCATCTAAAACTTCAGGCTGAACACTGAATGTTTAAGCCACCTCCACGTTGGCCTCATTTAATTTCTTCCTAATTCCTTTTTGCATCATTTCTCTATATTATTTAACTCTGTGGAGCTTTAAGTGGTGAAACTTCTTGTCAGCTATTCATTAGTTAGCACTCACACTGATGAGCGCAGCTCTGAAGCGCTTTTTCAGATGAATTCCCAAAGTCCCCTCTTACTGATCACTAACGTGGATGCTTTGCCTGGTCATACTCACCAAGAAATGCCCAACAAAACAGTTGTAGTCACAATCATTGTGTGAGGAAGAAACCTAAATGAATCTTTTTAAAGTCATAATAATTACACTAAAGTAGAACATTTGCCACAATGTATTAATCTAAATATCTTAATATTAATTACACAGTCTCTGCAGGTTCAGAGATCCTCAGTAATTGGTAGTTGGGTGAAGTGCACAGGGCTAAGAGAGACCTAGATTGTGGAGAGGGTCTGACATGTGCTTGAAGCACTGTGGTTAAGCTGTAAAATTTGGCTGTGCTGCTAATTAGCACATCCACCTAACTACAGTCTCATGTAGACTGCAGTTCTTACAGAGTTGATGGGAGGCTGGTTATAATTGTTGCTGACCTGTTGTATCGGAACTAACATTTTCTTAAATGCCATAAGACAGAAGTATGAGTTCCGCACCCATCATGATTGAACCTATCGGCCACTATCACATCTGCATTTGGCAGTTTTATGATAAACGTTTATTATTTTATAGCCATCAGTAAGATTGCTGTCATATTAGTACATATCCTTGTTATAATTCCAAGCTTTTTTAATCTGTCCAGTTCCCCAAATCATTGTTTGTGTTTATTTTGTAATCAATCGAACCTTTTGAAAGTTGTCTCTGCTGTGGGTTGCATCACATCAGAATAGCACTTGCAGCATGACCTTGTGTTTTCTAAGCTTTGCTGCAGCAGTTAACATCTATAATAGATTATTATGGAAACTCCAGCTTGCAAGCCATGCTGGCCACAAGAGGAAATACAATAAAATATTTTTCGGATGAAGAAAGCATGCCCCTGTGCAATTTGAAGCCCCCCTTTGCTCCGGCACTTTAAATTCAGCTCTGTTTAATGATGTTTTTAGGCTGGCAGAACTGACAATGTGTGTTCCAGCATGGGTAATATCCATTCGTCAACTGGCTGGCTTCTCTGGTCCCAACCAACATGATACTCAGTTCTATTATTTACACCTTTCTCTTGGTTTTCTTGTGGTCAGCACTTCTAGTCCCACACAACACGCTGTGTTAGCTGCTATACTGTGGCAGAAACGAGAGAAAAACACTTCTCTCTGTGTGGTACAGCCACCGCTGACTCCAAGCACTGAGTTACTGTGTTATTCAGCTTGATGAGGGGTGACGGATTCCCCAGTGGGAGATGTTCTGCTCTCCCATTGGAGCCTTTCAAAGTTATATTATCATCATGTTCCTGGAGTTTTTCCTTTTCTTTTTTTTCTAAGAAACTCTTAAAGTCTCATCTTGATTACAACAACTAGAGTTTAAAACTATAACCCAGCTTTAGAGATTAAAGGCACTAATAAAAGCCGTATTACTGTCCACCCTCTGTCCCAACTTTGCAATCCAAAGAGAGGAAAGTCCTGCTTGGATCATGCAACTGGAGTGTTAATCAATTCACAGACTTTTAGATGGATAAAGGGCAGCAAAATGTGTGTTTTTTTTTCTCTGATGTTCCTGAGCACAGCCAACTGCTTTCATCATCACAACTTTTTTGCTACCAGAGGCAGAAAAGGCATTAACACATAGTCTTTTGGAATTTGTCCAGTTGTTTAAATGCAGGATTTCTTCCAGGCAGATTTTCCTGCTTAATCTTCAGTTTAATGCTATCCTCATCAAGCTTTACTAGCCAAAAAAAGCCTTTGGGTCATGGCAAGGCACATGATGATCTGCACTGACCAGCTGTGGCTCAGAGAATAAACTAGACGGGCCAAATTTTATGTGTGCAATTATCTAGAGAAAGTATTTAGGTGCCTTTTTGTGTTCTCACCTACCATTGAGAACACAAATGGAGGATATTGTGGGAAATGTGACAATGCTGTGATGATAAAAGAATTATTTAAAAGAGTGGAAGAAACCCATGAAAACCCATGTCTGTCCCTATCTAATCCATCTGAATTATTTGTGCTTTTTTGCATTAATGTTCTACTGACAGTAGCTAATCCACCAGGGTTACAGAAAAATGTATTATCTGGGCTGACATGGAGTCCATATCTTTAACAGATTGAGCAGTGGTGATAATATTTCCAAATGCTTGATAGATTGCCCTATCTACATGTCTCCATCTTTAAGTTTGCAGCATGAAGTATGGTGTCTCTCATTTAATCACTTTAGCGAGACTGCCTATAATAGTACATTTGGGTGTGTTGCAGCTCAATGTTGGCAGGACAGCCCCCATTCATGAGAAAATATTTGATGATGACATTAGTCAGTATATCACCCTGGTGTGACTCCAAGGTTCAACATCGGCCAATAACCTTGTTTTCCTCTGGTATTGTTAGTTATTACTAATGTCCTGTCTCTGTGTGGCCCTGTGGTAGGCCGGCAGCCTGTAAAGGGTGTACCCCGCCTCCCACTTGTTGTCTGCTGGAATAGGCTAAAAAAATATGGATGTGAAAATGCATTTTTTACTATATGTGTCCACATTTTAAAGTAATTATAATGTGTTTTATAATGTTCTTATAGGGGTCATGCGATATGGTAAAAACGCTTCGGCTTGCTGAATTTTTCCACATACAGTAGCTCCAAGGAATCAAGACCTACACTGAAAAAGGTTCAACAAACTCCTGCCTCAGAATGAGTCTGTGTTCAAAATGGAAAGCGTCTGAGACATGCACCGTTCAGTCTCCTCCAAACTCTTTGGAGGAGAACGTTTTTGATGTAAGCAGAGTCTTGGGACAGCACATGCTAATATTTAGTCTCAACCATCGTCTGCCTGTGAGGCTCACAGACAAATTCACAAGAAATGTATTTGGCTGTTTGTACAAAGTATAGATGCAGTATGAGTGATGATTAGAGAATTTATTTATATGTCAGCGATGAAAGCGGTGCTGAAAAGCATTTTCATATAAAAAATGTAAGTAAAACTGGCCAAAAAACCTTTTGATGGAAATCATCAGATACGATTGATTAAATAAGTAGCATCACTTTTAAACTAAATTGTCTTGTTGTAACAAGTCATGAGATTATTTTTGGATCAATTAAATGGGGTAAATTATGCAATGTCAGGCTTTACCATAGAAAGTTTTCAACTCTAGTCAAACACCACAGAACAAGACTTCACAAAGTTCTCTACATCTTGCTTTTTCAACATAGTACCTACATTTCTGCACAGCTGTCATTGAAGTAAGAAAAAGATAAACTAACCTGCAGACTTCTGAGCAGGGTAGTACCAGCCATAACAACAGTATCCCTGGACACTCTTCTTGCTCAAGCAATTTCTCTTCATTGATGTAATAGATGTGTCCCTGTTGGACCTTTTTTGCTCATGTTTCCTCGGGGAAGGCAGCTGTTGTGCTGTTAATGACAACACAGCATCCAGAGGCAATGGATCACAGAGGCCTTGAAGCAGCCTTTTAGGCTTATATCATATGACGCAAGGAGTATCGATTCCCCGTGTCATGGATTGTTATGAGCACAGATTAATAGACAGTAAGTTTTCGGCTCCAGGCAAAGTAAAATGTTGCCGTTGTGCTCTGGGTGCATGTTTGGGTTCAATAATAGATTTGTGACAGCTAAGCCTTTGATACATAGTTTGCATTTCCAATTCCTTTCTGTCTCAAAGGAGAAATATTTGTCTTACTCCCTTTTAATATAAAAACAGTGTTGATTCAACATTCTGCCAACAAATTTTAAGGCTGCTGTCAAAATACACAGTCCATATTTATGGATTGGTTAATTCTTTAAGATTCATTTTCTGATTTCATGTCTGACTCAGGGATTAAAGAGATATTTAACCTCGCTTCTTTCCACAGCTTCCCCAGTCTGAGCCTGTTAATGATACCTAACAGCAGAGATGCACAGTGCTATGGGAGTTACCTCTCTGTGTTCTGCATGCTGGGATTTGGCTTTTTATCTTGTCGATGATAAAAACATGAGGAACCTGAAAGCGTTGATGTCAGGAATGAACACTCTCCCTTGCGAAATATTCATCCTCTTAATATCTCAAATGAGCTCTCTCTTGTCGCCATAACAAAATAAGGGAGTTCTGCCTCAGTCTTATTAATAAAGGTTAGAAATCCCAATATCTCCACCTCATATAGCTCCGCTAATTTATTCACTGTTTTTGTATCTGTGAAACTCGATTTAAAGTGTTTTAAATTCCGCTCACGTTATGTTGCATTAGTTTAAATGCACAAGAGGAAATAATTGAAATTTGGATGCTGGTTATTTCCATGCCTGGGGAGATAATTACAAATCACCACACAAAATGGTCATATTTTTCATGGCTTTAACATTTTATGAATATGAGTCATGTACCCATAAAACAAATCGACTGCATCATTTTAAAGCATTTTGCATTAGTGCATCTAAAGATGACAAATGCGGTTCCACACCTGTTAAATAAATGATTTCCACCAAGTTCATGTATAGATTGAAAATAAGAAATTAGCAAGCAAATACTGTATCCCATCAGTACCAACTGAAAGACTCCTCTGTGGTTGAGAGTCATTAGAAACGATAAACCTAAAAGTAAACTACTGGACTGTATGCCAGTTAGGTCTTAAACTCGAACCGGTGTAAAGCCATTTTCATATTGGAGATGTTCTGGGGAAAATTAGTTGAATCAGATATTCATACAGTTGCAGTGTCACGCAAACTCATTACAGCAATAGGCTCTCTGCTGGAGATGCAAATCAGAGGGTTTCTTTGTCTTCTGGGCTTTTGCCCAGAAGACGGGCAAAAGATTTTTTCTCCAAAAGTTAAGAATGGCAGATAACATGTGCTGCAGGTATATGTGCTTGTCCACTGTAACAAGGGCTGAGTGGAAAGCTGCATATAGGTTATCAGAAAAAACAAACTCTAACCAGCACACGTATGCTCACACGTTAGCCAAAATTGCTCTTGAAAAATCGCTGACACACTCAAACATCGTCTCGCCCACTGATGTTCCAGATTTTGCTCAGCCAATGGTTGGAAAATCTGGACAGAAAAACTGGAGAGAATGTTTTGGATATTTGCATTCCCACATGCCATGAAATGTTTCAAAGATGCTCCAGAGCATCTCTGAAACATTTCAGGTCAACAGTGGTTTTCAAAATGCTAGGTAATACATGTGGTATTTCTGTTGGTCACTGGTGCTGCATATGCATGTCTGAATCAGTCTCTGGTGACGATGCATCACATGCAGATGCTTGCTGCTTTTCTTCCTTTTGTGATTCCGCAGATATCTCAGCACGTTAGAATCATTTTCAGCGCAATGACTGATGTGAGAATGAATGTCTCCGCAGTTTGATGAAACAACTGCCAGCATAATTAAAGACTGGCGGAGGGTGGGCAAGGCTGAGCTGTCTGCACACCAGTGATAGTTGGCTCTGTATCTCTGCTTGAATCCATACTCCAGCTCTTGCTGAGTGTTTGTCTCTCCTCCCCATTATGTCCCCATACATATTGTCTGTACCCCTCAGTTGAATGCTAGATTTACCATTAGTTTCACAGACCACCTGGGACCTGTTTAGGATTATTTTACAGGGACACACTCTACATGCAGCTGGTCCATGTCAATTTTTGACAGAATAGGTGGACGTAAGGGTTTCCTTCAGATGAATGTCTTATAAAAGGGGATTTAGTAAACGGCAAAGTTTTACCAAGTCAAGTATGGTTCCATTCTGTTTTAAGATTCCGTGTAAGAATGATCAAATCCCTTTGCAGGGGGGAGTTAATCGGTTTTGTTAACTATAAATACACCTTTTACCATTGAGACTTAGATAATCTGCCATGACACAAAAGTTACCAATTAGCAACTAAAAATAAGACAAGCTGATCAAAATAAATAAAACTGCCTTTACATCTTGTGATGTTTGTTTTTGTTTTTTTTAAAAGGCAGGAGAGTCCAATAAGCAGGTAACTGGTAATCTGGTAATCTGGTTTCCCCAGAAAGTACTGGGGTGGATGGAATGTGTATCCAGAAGGAGTAGAACGAGAAGGGGAGCAGGACCACTGGAAGTACACAAAGAGCTTCGATTAGATTCAGGACAATCTGTTGTGTGTAAAGAGTTTTGGACCCGCCCCTGATTACCACTGCAAAGAGTAACACAATCCAATGTTCCTCGAACAGGTCATTTTAGAAGTCGTCTTAATGAGGATTGACGAGCCGAATGTGCGGGAGCGGGAGCCATCAAACTCCACCCAAGACTTCCAGGAAAACCCGCTCCACCCAACCTAAAACTCATGAGACCAAACAAACACCACAGACAAGCATGATCATGACAGGCTTAGCCGTGCAGTAACACACACTTCTTTTGTTCCATCTAACTTTATAAAGTGCTATTAAAAAAAGTCAAGCTTACTCTAAAAATATTTTAGTTGTATCTATCTGTCAACTTAATAATAAGTAGTTGCATCTTTTCATTGACAATAAAAACTTTTTTTCAGTCAATTAAAACCTTTTTCCTTTCAGTTAACATTCACAAGCATGACTGAGGCAAGCTTCATCTACCCAAAGCCAGTTTTTGATAATGATCTTTTTTGTCATAATATTATTAACATCTGACCTGAGCTGTATTATTTCTGAGATGTTATGACTGTAGATGCTTTCAAAATATATAAACTCCGATGATGGATCGGTGGCCTTTCCAGCCTGTACCTCCTCTTGCCTAATGACACCTCGGATAGGGTGCTGCCCCCCTTGTGACAATTGGAATGAATTAGAATATAAAATGCATTTTGAATCGAAGATAGATAGATGGATGATCTGAACTTCAATCCTAACATTTAATTAATTATTTAAAATAAGTGAATAGAGCAATGTGCATGTGCTGCTCTTTAAATACAAACAGGGGATTCCCTCCTTCTTTTCCTAAAAAAGGCATGTACCCTGCTAAAAAGCAAGCGTTTAATGTCTCAAAATGGAAAGATTTTTCTTTATAACTTTCATCTAATTATCAGAAGAACAAAATAATTGTTAACAATATGCATACAAATTTCCCTATATATAAACACTGCTCTTCTCAACCACATACTTACACAATGTGTGTCAGAAAGAGTTCATTCATAAATATTGTAAGCTTACTTTTTCAATTTATATCAAAACTCTGATTTATAAAGACTCATGATATTCATTTATCATGAGGTTTACACTGATTTATCATGTTTGCTAAAGAAATTTCCGATCCAACCAGGCAGAAATAAGACGGATTGACATACCTTTTTTCCATCAAAGCCCACATACTTTACAGTTCTCGAACAATGGCAGGAAATTTCCTTGTGAAATGCAATGGACTGCAGACAATCACATGCCTCAAGGAGGTCAATTAAGTAACTATTAGAATGTGTTGGAGGTGAAGCAGTACACAAGCAACACATATAGATGTGACACAAGTGGGTAATTGAAACAAATGTACCAATTCAGGCTATATATTTATGTACTGACATATTTATTTTTGAGCATACAAAGAGTTTACACCCTCAGGAAAAAGCTACCTTCTTTCATTTGTCTCACAGTTAGCAGCCTCATCTATGTCCCTCATTATTGCTGGTGCTTAGTAAAGCAGTCCTAGAGCAGCCATGCATAGGCCCACCTGCTGTCCAATCTCCATATTAAAGTCCAAAGTAAAGGTCATCTTAACAGCACCTAAGCAGTTATTGACAAGTCAGGAGGATGGAGGACGCCTACAGAGGGACAGAATGGTCAGTAATCTAGATAAATTCCAAACAGGTGTGAAATTAAAACTGTTTAAATTTGCAGATTGAGAGGGAAGAGTGAGCGAGGGAAAGAGGTTTTACAGCTGGAGCAGCTCAGAGGGCACTTTAGCGCGGATGCTTAATGCAATACTAATGGAATGTGTGTGTGTCGCCAATGTAGAAAACACATGAATTTTAAAACTACTTTTTCATGTCCTCTGAAGATGTCGCATTTTAGTCAGGAGAGAAAATGTACAGCCATAACCTGAAAAATGTAGATGATCAGCACATTGCTTTGCAGCTTTAATCCAGCCACCACAGGCCCTTCATTTGCAAATTTCAGTGACAAAACTAAGAAACATCGCTGACACACACAAATAAGCAGAGCAGAGTGCATCTCGTCAAATGCAAATAGAAATTAATACATAAATAAAAGGAATGGAAGGAAAAACTCTATTAGTCTTCCATCAAAGCCGAATAAAAAGATTCCTGGTCTGGAGACCGATATGAAAACTGTTTCGCTATTGCGTAGGCCTCCAAGAAAATATTCAGATCTTTATTTCTTATTAACCCTGGTAACAGATTGAAATGGATAAGTTATCAAAATGTACCATGCAAGTGCCTGAATGGGACAAAAACTCTTACAGCCCTTTTCAGAAAAACACAGCATCTAAAACACAACAAAAAAAGAAAGCCATGGTTACAAAAAGAAGGAGGTTTGTTACTGGAATTTCACAGGTCCTCTGGCCCAACTGAAGGACAGTTCCGGTCTGAACTGACAAATGATAACGAGGACCAAACAATGTCTTTTCAGATACAGTTGAATATCCCATATATTCCCAAAGATTGCTTTTCCTCTGCAAAAGTATGTTTCCAGTTAGACTAAACGCTCTTTTTACTGAGCTACAACCACAAGCAACACAGCCCATCTCCTGCCTCTGCAGCCTGATTTACTGACTTCAGACCAGTCAGTTGAAACATGACTGATCACGATTTGGTTTTCTGCGCCTTTTTAAACATTTTTCTCAGAATGACTTAATTGGATGGAAGCCGTGTATTGAAGAGAAAAATCAACTCTGTGCATAACAGTGTCTCCTGTACAAAAAGAGATTCCCTGCTACAGTGGGAACATTGCCTTCTCCAACAATGACATTGTCTTTTAGGCTTTAAACACGAAGGCAAACACTGAGAGAATGCTTCACAGGAGACCTTGATCAGTTTTTTTTTTCTCTCTGGCTGTTTGGGGAGCACAAAAGGGTAATGAAGAACTTTGGCAATTTATACCAGAATTCCAATTTCATTTTATTTTTAAAGCAAACAGTGGTGGAAAGTATTAGCAAAGCAGCAGAAAATAAGCATCCGTCATTATTCTGGCACTTTGTCGTTTCAATCTGTGGGAAAAGTTTGTTAATAATTTATCAGTTAGTAATTGCTTAATGCGACTCAGAGAAATGACACGGATGTCCTCCCTTTCTTTCAGATTCATCCGTGCACCACAGGCAGAAGACAGTGGTGACAGACATGTGCTACCCGACAGAGATATCCAGCCTGATGGACTTTGGCACTCAAGACTGTTCGCTAGGAAAAGGTACGCCGTCACTCCGATTTACAAAGCGTTGTCTAGGTGACGACAGAAAGGGGGAATGGTGACTGATCCTCGCCGTTTAAAACACACAGCTCTCAGCGCGGCGGTGGGAGATCACTGGAGCTGGAGCTGTAGCCTGTGTGGGCAAGAACAATCAGATAACAAGACTTGATACCTGGCCACGAGGCCCAGGCCTTGATTTATCTCACCAATATAACAGCTTTTGTCATCCAGCACAAGACCTCCACAAAAATCTTGTCCGATGGGTTTGGGGTTTACCACTCTGGAGTTTTATTGTAATGTGCCATTACTGAATCATTGCAAGAGCACTTATCTTCTACAATCACTGCCATCAGTCCAAGAAATATAAGGTTTTTAAGGAAACGCTCAGATAATAGTCTCCATTTCCTCTTGAGCACTAATTACACTGAGCGGTATGTATCTGTATCCCGAAATGTATTGATCAGCAGGTCCATTGATTTTCACATGATTTGCAGCTTAGTCTTTAGGCCCTGCAACAATTTTCTTCTCTCATCATAACAACTGCTATTATTCTCTGTTGTTCCCGTGCTGACGTCAATCCAGAGAGTCTGAGCTTGCAATTTCAGTCTTTTCATCTGGTCGAGCCTCCTGAAGCAGTATGCTCAACAACGGTCAGATAGGCCTTTTGATATTTCCAACAACAATAAGCAGTGACAGTGGAGGCCTCGGAAACTCATTTTCCCTCCTCTGTCACTGTCCATCACTTCCTCAGTCCCCCTCCTCTCCCCCATTTTTCCTCCTCCTCCTCCACTCTCTGTGCGCCAAATCATATTTTAATGCCACTCCATCCCAGCTCTCTATCAGCATCATGCAGCACTGTTAATGCAGACTGACAGGTCTTCTGAAAAGAGAGCAATAATGCAGAGGAGAGTGGAGGGTAAAAAAGGAAGGTTTATAGGCTTTAATATGAGCAAAGCAAATGGATGACACAGTGATCCAGGGAGTTAAGCTGGAGAATAAGGACACTAAGGAGTGGAACATTTTCGACTGAGGAGGTGTTAGGACAAAAGCTATACTGTGAATAAGGTTCCGTATAGCTTATAAGCAGGTCTCAGCATGACTGGAATTGTAAAGTGCAACATTTGGGCAGAAATGTTCATTTTAAATAGACAACTTTTGCCTTTCATTAGAGCATGAGTGTCATAATAACACAAACATCAACATTTCACTTTGAATTTTAACATTACTTCGGGATTACATTTGACTTTATGTCATTTCACATCCGCAAAGAATGATAAAATATTAGAAGTTGTTGCTTTTGGATTGCAATTTACAAGAAATGGTAAGCTTTTTCAAAAAGCTTTTTCAAAAAAACATTTGACAATTTCTTTGTGTAACAAGAATTATTCAAGATCATTTTTCACTTCAGTAAAATAGAAAAACTATTCATTTAATGTATAAGCGCGATTAGTATCATGTCATTACATGGACACTTTGCAGCAGGGCAGAAGTGGTCCATGAATCAGGCTGCTCAGCAGGTCAGTTTCTGGCACAGAAATCCGGGGTCTTTGTTTGCAGCTCACTGCTCCACTTTTAGCATGTGCCTACTAACACAGGTGCACTCATTAATCCAGCAACTGATCACGACATTAGAGCCCCTCTGATCCATTACTGAGGTAAATATATAACCGCGTCTCAAAGCATAATGGGAAATTACAAAATCACAAAAATCCGGGACAGTCACAGTTTTTTTTAGTTGTGCAACAGGACAAAAATTGAAAAGGACATCCCTGGACGAACACACTGTCACAGCAATGAGCATAAAAAGACTGCTGCCTCACATTTAAGCATTTAACGGGTAAATATGCTGGGTAGCTCAGTTTCATGTTGTTTCATTACCGTTCACTGCTGTGTTTTATGCTCAGCGTCAGAGGAGCGCTGGCTTGGATCATAACAATCCAGTATTAGCTTTTTATTCCACTGACAGTGTAGGATGATGGGCTTCATGCTTCACAAATTCCAGGCTTCCACAAATGACCGACTTGAGAAGTCTAGCTCAGTTGAGCTTGCCTTCTCCTTCACATGCCGTTTGAAAAGTGAAACTCCCTTTTCCAACTTGCTTGGATCAATTTAGGGGGCCATAAGCAGGGGAACAGAGGACAGTGGAGACCCCGGGGCACAGAATAGTGAAATGTGATGAACCTGAGAAACACCTTAATAGGCACATTTATGACAGTTTAGTTTAGGACTATAGGCTTAAACACCCACAGCTGTAGACAAGAGCAGACACATCTGTGGCTGTAGGTTTGTGCTCAGTACACCTGCATTCCACATAGTCGCTGTAAGCCTGGGGTGACACTTTAGAATTATCTGCTGTTTCTGTTTCTTTAAATAAGGAAGTGAATACTCAACAATTATATGCAATAATAAAATGGGACAGTTCTCTCTTAAGTGGCTAAAATATGCTTTGAACTTATACTAATTTGGGTCTATGGGTATTGGACAACATGGGAAAGGGATTTGTGACATCTGTTTTAGATAATAATATTCCTTTTGTTGTTGTTGTTGTTGTATCAGTTTGTCTCTGAACAGATCAGTCAGAGGACTTGGCAGTAATCCTTGAGGTTCCCTTGCATGATTGACAGATCTATTGCGTGTGTGAAAGCGATCTGTTTAGATTACATTTGAGCTTTGGGCTGCTCTGAACTGCTGTCTCGTCTTTAAAATCCTAAAGAACAAACTCACATTTCTCTTGTAGATAAGCAGACAAACACATTATGCCTACACTTAAGTATGCTACATGTGCCACTCAAGTGCTTATAAACCAAAAACTCCATTATAAGTTTATATCCAGTCAGACCCTGCAGCGTGAATTGATTCTCTTCGAACCACTTGTTTGTGTCTGCCTTAGGCATAAAGGAACCTGAGAGGTAAAATGGAACAGCCACAACCTTATTTACTCTGTCCACTCACATCCACGTCCTCATCTAACATGGCACAGATGGCCCTTAGTCAGCACCAAGCAGCAGAGCAATCAAATGCTTGGAAGGTTTAAGATAAGATGGAAAAGCCCGTATTTTTAAACACATCTGAGTGTGCAGAGATGAAGCAAATAGGTTTGAAACTTGAACTTCATGTTCCACTTTCGCTGTTGTGAATGATTTACCGGCACATTTACATTGAAGTTTGCACATGCTGCATTTACTGCTCATGCAGGGTTTGCTTTCTTATCTCCTCCGACCAAAACTCCCTTTTGCATAAAGGGAGGGGGTAATGTAAACTAACTCAAAGTGGCGCGGATAACTTCATGCTCCCCTGTCCTCTGTTAGCTCTCAGCCATCAGGTGGAGTAAGAGCTCCGTGGCTGGTTTGTCACCTGAGGCCTAAGGTGCACTTTGTTTTCCCCTCCCCCTCCTCCTTGTCTCAGGCAGGGGGGGGATGAAAAGCGGGAGTGGGCGAGGGTGAAAGTTGTCCAGGCTGCTTCTGGGTGTGTCACTGAACAGATACACAGAAAGCGGGAGAGATAGAGAGTTGCATTCACGGGGAAAAGAAAGGAAAGCAGCAGGAAGGTACCTGAGTGGCTCTCAGGGGAAAACTTCCTGGTAACCTGCCTGGGTGGAGCCACAGTGAGCAGGGAGCGGCTCACACTGGTGCCGCAGTGTGTCGAATTTGAATGGTGTGCGCACTGGCCTGCATGTGGGTATTTCTTTCCCATGCTATGAGAAGTCAGACCACAATTTACAGTGGAGTCGAGCGGAGCCCGTGGTGAGGGGGACATGAGGTCCGACAAGGAGGAGGGGAAGGCCGGTGAGTACAGAGAGGAGTTTGAGAAAGTTCTGTTTGTGTTAGTGTTGGCCATGTAAGCGGCTTAAGCTCCAATGAATCGGGTCACTTCTCATGTTGATGTGTGTGCTTATTACGTAACACGAATCCGAGGTTCAAACAGAAGTCAATCTAAACGTGTCTCTCGATGCAGAACATTGAGAGAAGTGTACAGTGACAAAGAAAAGGTTTTCCTCAGTGGTTGTGTTGAGGTTCACTTTCAGGCCCTTGAATTTTTGTGCATGTTGATTTACACTTCTATTTCTTTAACATTCAGATAGATGACATCTAGAAATAACAGGCACAATGAAATTATAAATGTATTTAGAACATCAGAATAATTGAATAAAAAAGTATGGCCTTTGAAAATCACTAAATTCGTAAAAATCAATTCTGCTTGTTCTTTTGATTGTTTTTTTTGTTGTTTTTGATTAGATTTGTTGGTCTTAGTTGCCAGCTTAATTACACAAATCATCAATCACTGTTCCACAGTTTTATTTAGGGTTTCGCATTTAAAAAAGATTTGAACGCTTTATATATGGAGGGGATATATGGAGTTATACATCCCTATGTAGAGGGAGGTGGAGATCAACTCATTAGTTTTCGGTTAAAAGACATCTATACCACCTCCTGAGCAACATCCATCCAGATCCTTGTCACTTTTTGTGTAAAATATTCAATTTCATCTGCCTACTCCCCTCAAACAACAGGATATGAGGGTTCTCTGAAACCTGCTGAGCGTAGACACCTGCTCATTCTTAGCTGTAAAGGGTGCAAAAACAAACTTCATTTGATTATCAATCAACAAAACAGCGCCCAAATTACAAATTAGGTCTCACAAGCAGTCTCGCTCTGTGTTTTCTGTTGCAGAGAATAACTTCCTTATGTGTTGACAGTGGGCTTTTAATGTTGGAATTGTTAAATATGCAAAGCAAAGGGCAGAGGAAAAAAAAACAAAAAGCATGATATTAGAACAGCCGTTAATCATAGGCTGAAAGGAAATCATTAGAAAATACACTGAATGATCACCACATTTTAAAATAAAAAAACTGGATATTATGCACATTAAAAATCGTGTAAGAGGAAACTGTGTTTAAATTGTTTTTGAAAAACACGACTTGATTTTTATTTTTTAAAAATCAAAATTTATGATGATTACGGTAATATAATATATAGAACTGTTTCAATTCCTTCTCTCCGCATCACAACTATTTCTACCTCTGACATCCAAAGGTTTTAAAATGACATATTTTCTAGTTTCGCTTCTTTGTATTTGACAGTATATTCATATTAATTTGAGTATTGATTCCTCCGTGGTAACCATCTTAGGCTAGTTTTCATTTTATTTCCATACTCTCAGCTCATAGTATAAAAGCTGATTTGTATAAATCTATTTCAAATCCCAGTCTTACATGCCGTTTCACTGTGGAACAAAATGCTGCACTAACCTAGATGCTGGTCTGATGTTCATATGGATGATCACTTAATCTGCTATAAGCATTTTGTATGAATGGAGCAGTTTCGGTCAAATAATGCACAGAAAGAAGTTAAAGAAGTTTGTGGCTCTCCTACCTTTTTTTCATATGAGAGAAAATAATACAGATTGACAATAGCTACAGTGCCTCTATTGTTTGGGTTAATGTTTTTTATTGTCGGCTTGAATGTCATATTCAGGAAAGCTGTGGCTGATCTTTGTGAAGCAAAGATGGTACTGCCACTGTTCTTGAGACTCAACTTGTGGCACATCTTCAAGTTGTTTGTTGTCTTTGTCTGTTGTTTTGTTGTGTAAATCTCTGTGAGCAGCCCTGCGGTTTATTTATTACCATGGTTTGAATGATTTAATCTTCTTTCTAGGGCTTTTGAATCATCACAGACCCCTCCTACTGCTAAACAGGCTCTATGATTAATGTTTGGGATTATGCTGCCCTGCCTTAGGAGATGAGAGAAATTAAACATCAATTCATGGAGATTTTCATTCATCCCACTACTGCATTCTCTTCTTTCTTATAGCCATTGAGTCTGTCCCAAAGATCAGAGAAGTGGCAGGCCTCTGTGCCATCAGGGCCCTGATCTATCTGCTAATGGCCCACTTGTCTGAGTAAGACAATGCCATTTTAACAGCATTTTCTGATCATTTTAACCAGAGTAAACTCATAGTTTCCAAATAAAGGCATGATTGAAACTTTGTGCCTGTACTTTGCCAAAGACCTTCATGACTTGTTTTTTTCTCTTTCAAATTTGATCTTACCCAAACTAGATGTCGTATTTGTGAGGTTTCAATGTGAGTTTCAGCTTCTTTTGTTGTATTCGGACACAGAGAACCAAGCTTTCCCCCCATTTCCAGGGCCTGGGCGCTAGCTGCATGATACATATGGGGATAGCGGCATCCAGTTCATGTTCAGCTCTTGTTAAGACAGCCACATGCTTACTTAAACCTCAATTTTGAGATAGAATTCCCCAAACTGTCAGACTGTTCCTTAATTTCAAACTCATTTATTTTAATCTCATTGTAATTGATTACATTGTGATGAAGGAGTAACATCCTTTTCTTTCTAGAGAAAAGCACAATGGGGGTCATAATGACTGAATGAACTTAAAACATTGTCAACTCATAGTTTCTGAACCCCCATATCTCCACCTTTTAGAGTTTTGCTTTGCAGTCAGGTTAATTATCTTCATCATGTTTTAATTAACTTAGTATTAGCTCCATATTCTCCAAATGTCAGTGTCAAGTGGCATTAAGGATAAATATTGGTCTTGACCGTATTAGAAACCCAGATAGCTTTGACCATGTTCTCCGTGATCTTCCTGTGGTGCATCCTTGGCAGTGAGCCTAATCTGAACATAATAAATGTGAGAATCAATTACCACTATCTGCACTTGGCATCCTTTCACTTGACCTCAGCTGTAATGTAAACCCATAGGCAATTAATTAATGGAAGCTGTTCACAACAGATTTAGTTTACTTGCACATTATATCCAAGCGGTTAGAAAATGGAGAGTTATGGTGATTTACATTTCATACGTGTAAGTTAAGTGTAAACACATTGCCTTTTAACTGGTGTAATTCAGACTGCAAAGGTTCAGCACCAATCAAGTCGAAATCTCTAGTATAAAAAAGAGGTGATACATAAAACAGAAGGAAAGGCAGAAGCACTGGTGGCACCAGTTCAGCAGAGGAAGGTAATAAATCCTCCACAAGATGAAGAAAACTCCTTCAGGACTTCACAGAATGTCAGGAATGTGCTGCAGTATGTAGGACAGCATGTTTCCTTATCATCAATAAATGGAGTGATTAAAAGAAATTAAGGTCTGTCTAAATGTCTGCGGGAGGAAAAAGAGGAGGAGAATGTGAAGCAGTAAAAGAGCTGATACCATCTAATCCATCAAACACAGTGATGTTTCTGTTACAGTGTGGACATTAGTAGCTGCTGTTGAATTGGCACATGGAGCTTTACTGCCAACAACCGCATATAACATATAACAACTGCAAATAAGATGAATCCAGAAGCCTATTTAGTTCTAAAAAATTCCTTTTAAAAATCAGTTAAACAGCTTCCAGCCTGAAGAAGTAGATTATCCACAGCATTTATCTGAACTACGTTAGGATTGTACGTGTATTTCATTTGATAATGGCAAGACTTGAAATAAAGTGGCAAGAAAGTGCTGAAGTTCAGCGGATTAAAGGCTCCCACCACCATAAATGGAAAAAAGAGACATATTCTTCTGAAGTCGATGGAAAAATGACTTCAGGCCGACATCGACTGCTTTTGGATCTATATTGAACATTAAATATGATAATACCGGTTCACAGGATGCATGGTGGTAATTAACACTGTCACCTCACAGCACGCTGGCTCCTGCTCTGAATATCTGCTGCAGCCTTTCTATGCAGAGTTCACAAGTTCCTGTTCTCTCTTGTCAGCCTAGAAAGTATACATATTGGGTAAATTATTCATTCTAACCTGACTGCAAGAGCGAGTGTGAGTAGAGCTGTCATCAGTCATTAGTCTCTTATCTGGCAACTCATCCAGTGTTTAACCTGAGTTAATCTTCTGATATTAGAGATGAGACTTTCCTTATTGATTTATTTCTAGTTGAATATAGAGTGAAAACAAAATTACCAATAAAAATCATCGTACAAAAAACAGCAGAGTTTTTTTTTCAGGGTATGCTCTGATACTGTCTGATATGTTCTGTGGGATAAACTCAACTGGCTTAGGATTTTAACATATTGCTGCTACAATGCTACTGGGAATCTTAAGAACATATGAAGAAATGAACATGCTAGCTGAAGTGTTACAATTACCCGGGGCCTTAGAATTAATTCATGTTGGTGAAGCGATTCATTTAGAAGGAATGTCTTAATAACTGTTCAGTCTTAGTCATTTCATATTGACATACTGTCACACGCTATGTGATCAGTGGGCATTGAACTGCATGTGATTATGCTCAGGCCACTTACAAAAGCGTGTTGTCCGTTTTTCTGTGTAATGAGAATGAATTAAAACTTGAATCCACTGATTAAAACTATTAAGAGGTGACTTTTGGTAGATTGGATAGATAGTGAGGTGAAGCTATTGTTTAAGGCTATGTTGTGTTGTGGGATTTTTTTTAGAGTGGACAGCTTCGTATTCTATGGTATCTCATGTTTCTAAGCATCAGGGTGTTTGTTCTTGCTTCTTCTTCATATTCTTGGATATCATAGGACTGCTTCCACTTGCTGTTTGAAGCCTCAGCATATCAAATCTGAGTCTATACAGCCCACACACTGTGTTCCATCACTGCACCAGTTCCTCCTGTGCCTGTAGTACAAATTAACAATATGGATGTCAAAAATAAACCTGCTGATGATTTAAAAAGAAGGGCTAATCACTGCAGCCCACCCCTGCTATCCAACCCCCAACCACCTCTTGATTTGAAGCACAGTTGGGAGCTACTGACAGAGCGAACGTGTTTACTTGTGAAGAATCTCTCTATCTGCATTTAAGTCTTGAACTGATGTAGATGTTTTTCTTTCATAAACAGCATCTGGGTTGAGGTTTTTGGGGGGGTTGTGAACAGATTGCTTTGAGATGAAACAGCATTTCTTTGGGAACAACTCCAAACAACTCTACTTTTTTTTTTCTAAATAAGGTATTGTATGATATTTGAAATGTTTTTGGAATGCAGCATTTTTGTTTGTGCGCTGTAGGGTAACCTGGCTTCCTGACTTTTGAACAAAACTGAGTGAACATTCTGGCAAACTCCCAGCCCCAGCAGGCTTTGCATAGCTGTGAGGTTTCTTTAAAGGAGTTGCAGCACAGTTGTGGAGACAAAGTTACCATACAGTGTCCTGTTCATGCTCATTAGTGTGTTTTCGTGCCAATATTAGGACCCCCTACCTTCATTGGTATTGTCATTTGTTTTCTAAGTGGAACTATAAAAGCTTCTAATCCTAAAACAAATTTGGCCCTTCCTTTGATTAATCATTGTCTATTGGTAATAATTGGCCAAATAATGCAAACAATACAATATTAAAAGTCTTTGTTTCCTGCTAAAATGACAGGTTTAATCTGCTTAGTTTAGCTTCAGGTGTTGTGTTAAAAGTTTTTGTTGCCACTCTGACCAGATAAGTATACAAATGCAATTCAGTTCAACTGCTCTGGCTCAAAAGTTTGAGGACTACTTTTTCCATATTTTTCAGACATTTTTGATAAAACTATTCATTCTGTTTGCCTTCACAGGGTTGGGGGTCGTGATGCTTTGCACATTGAAAAATGTTCATTCACACATTCACGTTTTGTCCACCTCAGGCATGGCCAGATATTTGTTATAGTACACAGAAACATCTGTGACATTGAAATAACCCATTAGCTGATTAGAGTTTATCACAAAGTAAAGCTGAAACTGATGGGAATGTCATTTATTTTTTAGTCATTCAGTCATGAACATGCATTGCATGAAGTGTCCATGGATCATTTATGAAAAAGATATTTCTAAGTCTCATGATTATGTATCAGCTGACCGATGTGTTGTGAGGGGAAAGGCAGAAAAACCACCCGTCTTCCAGAATTGTGCGTGTTTATATATTCCAGCTTCATAATACAGAGACAGAGTGTCATTTGAGGTCACTATCTACAAATATTAATCAGATGAGGCTTATGACGGACTCCTTATTGATATGGAACATGTAGGACTTATTTTCAGTCTATCAACGTTGGGTTTTTCCTGCCTGCCAAGGCTACAGAGTTCCCTTCATGAAGAGTTTAATTAAGATCTGAAGCAGACTGCTGTCTTTTTCCATCACAGTTTCTACAGATCTTGATATTGTGGTTAATGGAAACCAGATCCCTTTTTTTCTTTTAATGAGGTGCAGGGGAAGTGAGATGTGAGCACAGACATACAAATGTGCACATATGTAATAAAACCTAAGCCCACAATTAAGTACAGTGACAAATATTTGCCCTTATTAAATCAGACAGTAGCATGGCGCTAAAGTTTCTCAGTTCCATTGTTCCATTAATGTGGACTTTTGACATTTCAATGAATTAAACAATACTTGATGAGTAAGAAGAAAATTTACTTGATTGATACTAACTAAAATTATTGGAAGGATTACCTGCACAGCTGTAGCATTAAACAAGTAATTAACATAAGTTCATGTCCTGGTGGGTTTTCTATGAAAGATAAAACACTTTTTTCCACATACTTTATCTTTATCTTATATGTTGCTATTTAATTGACATTTCATTAGCAGGACTTTTGAGATGATTTGATATCGAGCTGTGTTTTTTAGGCTTTTCATATTTAAACTGATTAATGGTGCCACTGGCAAGAACATGCCTTGGGGAAGTCATGACAATACTCAAGTCCCCCCAAAGAGGCTATGGCTAAACAGTGATGTAAAGAGAAGCTGAAGCCATTTAGTATACTTTTATGTAATGATTTAAAACTTTGCTTATTTTCTAAACAGCTCTACAAATATCAGCTATTAAAAGCAAAGCCCTCGCAGTTATCTTTATGTGCCCAGTAAATGCAGAGAGCTTTGATGTATGTCCGACCTGTTTAATGATTCACTGCATAAAACTTTGATAGAAATTCGCCATTCACAAATGTTACATATGCACATGTAACAGCAACAGAGCAGCTCTCAACCCTCGAGGTTGAAAACGTTATCATTTCAACCCCGCATGGCTCCATTTCCACTGCATCACTCCATCATGTTCCCTCAAGCCCTTTTACACCAATACAGATAGTACACTATCACCATAAAATAGTGAACCCAAAGCAACCGAGTATGGGAAAAAGATAAAACAAAAGTATTCAGAGCATCTTGTATCGTGATCAAGTATCACATTTGTCCACAACAATTTCATATGTAGACATGTTGGAAATGAGATAACATTGAATGGGAATTTTATTGAAGAAAATCAACATTTTTGCCTCACAATCTTAGCATCTGAGTATCCTAGTTTTCCGTTAACATGCCTCTTCCACTGAGTCTAAGGTTGTTCAACCAGTCTGAGCCCTCCTGTTCCACTTTTGCTTGCTTTTCATACTGCAGCCACACATGCCTGTGTGTTTTTATAGTTTTTACATAAGAGCTATGAAATCTCATTAAGATGATATTATTATTCTACTGAAGCCTCTTAAGTTATCTCAAATGTTGTGTTGTGCGCCTCTGAGAAACCTGACAGGACAGTGTTCTGTAATGGAGCGTCTGTATGACCTTGTAGTTCAACTATATAACTGCCCCAGAGAGATTAGAGCAACATCACCGCTTCTATATTTTAAATGGACAGAAATAGCTGAGGCGAACCACTGTACTAACCGAATTTACACTGATTCTGTACTGTCAGGAAAATTGAAGTGGAAAAGTGACAGCCACGCAAATCATAACTCTATAAGGCAGAGCAGCTAGCTGCTGTCACCTCAGAGGCTTTTAAAAAATATATTTGACATTATTTTCCATGAAGTTTGTTCATGTTTATGAGGCATTACAGGTGATAAAACCCTGTTTGCTTAAACACAAAAGTGTCATGGGAAAAAAAGAGACAGTTATGAATAATTTCAGGTGTCTGGATGTAAAATACCTTCATTTTCCATAAAATACTTGTGTTTTTTAATTAATCTATTACATTTGTAAGGATCTATGCATTTATATTCACACATTTCTTCATTGTATAATTAATTGTAACACATTTGTATTTTTAAGTTCATGAAATTGGTATAAAGAGACTGGACTGACCAAAATATGTCTCTCCTTTGTTCCTGCATATCTTAATATGTTAGCTGACCATTTGAGACAACGACTTTAGGCACAAAATAACTTAATAATAATAATAAAGTTGCAGTAATAGGGAAAGACAAAAAATTATTGAATGAAATCTACAGAATCAAAATATGCTATTTATTTTGAATTTGTGCAAACCTTTTTAACTGATTCTGTGCTGATATGACTGCGACCTAATAAGATGTATGATATGTGAGTACTCAGTATTCATGCTTGTGTCAGGCAAGCCTTCTATGTGAACCTTTTTTCCGTTCACTTCCTGTAAAATGATCTTTTAGTGAAGTAGCTGCATGATGATGGTTGCCAATGAGAATTAAGTCCAGTTTTGATGTGCTGTGAATAGTTGGTGACAAACTTCTTTTAAAACTGAACACATTTTTGCAGCAGGAGCAGTACTGCTAAAGTTACTTCTTCATCCAAGTTCAATATTCCAGCACAGTGCACGCGACTCGGCTTTAATCATTCATGTATATACATAAGCCCATTTTAATCCGTCATATTGTTCACAGTCGACTAGTTCAGCTATTTGACTGCCAATCAACACATTTCCAGCACTCGCTTCACCTTCCAAGCAACTCTGCTTTTCTCCAGTCTAATCATGAGCCTGCAGCCTCCATGAGTTCAATTCCTTCAGCTGTGTGTGTGTGGTGTGTGTGTAAATGTGTGTGTGAGAGTGGGTATGCTGGCTTTTGACAACCCTGCCATGCAAGGGAAAGGGACAAGTAGTTCACTGTTACCTGCAGCTTTGATGGACACTCTAATGACAGGCTTGGATGAGAGGTTCATTGAGTGGATTTCTCTTCTTATGTGGGAGGACTCTAATAGCTAGGCCAAGTTCACTGCACCACTCAAAGCTCCGACCGATCACAGAGCCTTGTACTGTTTGTACAATCTTCCTCCGATCACATGCAACTGTCTCACTTTGTGCAGACAGCAGATGGCTCACCTCTGTTAGCACCCTTCAGCTTCCCTCCTTCGCTTACGTGTGATGTGAGACAGAACATTTTTATTTTTCTTGAGTCAGTGAATCAATCTTAATTCAAGCCTTTGTGAATGGGCATGGTTGCAGATTTATTTATTTTTGCTTAGAAATGTCTTTTAAAAATTATGCAAAATCCAAATATATAATTGATTTATAAGTAAATTTGTTATTATGATAGGACATTGCAAAACAGATATAACTCAGGCAAGACATTACATTTTTGTCAATGTTCAATGATGATCACGGAATAGACAAAGATTCCAGTCAACACATTAAGCAAAATAGAAATAGAAATAAAAAGCTTATACATTTAATCATCTGTTTTACAGATCAACATTGCAAATCATGCAATCAAGTTTGTGAGAACTGCTGAACATAGGAAAAACACGTCAGGAATGACCCGTAGTGTCCTGCATGAGCAAAAGCTGCAGCTGGGCTGCCTATGACTAAAGAGGAGAGCCCATCGGTAAACAGATGAATAAGCGGATTGGAACTGCGAGAAGGACATGAAAGATTGTTCTCTATTGGAAACAAACTCTTTTTGTCATATTCAGCACAGAGCTGCCTGCTGTGTTTCCATAGTCCCGCTCTGACAGAGACCGATGGACCGTCCCCTCGACTCTTATCGGAGGTGCTGCAGCTCCACAGTGTCTGGCTCTCAGCCTGCAGAGACCCTCTCACTTTTTCTCTCACACACGCATGCAGATATAATGCCTCCACAATTTCGGTCTTCATTTTTTTAAACTTTGTTTTGTCGTGTTTTGTTTTGACGTCGAAATCGTCCCACTTTGGGTAATACTCTTTAAATACTCTTTAAATTCGTAGCTTAGATCTATGAATGACAAGTGTTTCAATAGCAATCCGCCTCTTTAAGAACAACTAGTATTTGGCATTTGTGGTTGCAAGTAGACCAGCGCCTCCCGAAAATGACAGTTTTACATCATAACTTTCAGCTTTATACATGGATAAAGCCGATTTATCTTTAAATCACATTCTCTAAACCATAAATGCATTGCTAAATAACTTTGTGTGACATTTCAATCTTACATTTAGGATTTTGTTGCCCGATTGCACTCGTTCTGTGACTTTTGAGAACTTTCTGAATTACAAACTTATCATTTCAGGTTTTTCTGTGTTGTTTTGGCTGACTGCGTTTTCCATTTGTCTGTGTTCTAATGAAAAGTGTGCATTCAGCTGGAACAGACCTTCCACCCTTATGTTTCCAATATAAATCATTATGACACTGTTGCTTTTATGGGTGTCTTTTATTTGACATTTTTAATCATTTCTGCCCTTTGGCTTTGCAAGCATTTCAGCCAGCCACTGAGGGCATCCTATCTTTCCTGTGTCCTATCCTCGATTTCCTTTGGTTTTGCACCTGGTTTCCCCAAAATACAGCAGAGAAGGGCAGTACAAGAATATCTTCCTTATATTGTATCAAGTCACCACTACTTTAGTTTCTCGTTGTCATTACTGTTTTTATACCTGAATTTGTAATCGGTGGACAGTAACGGAGTAAATTCACTTTTACTCTATTAATGAAACTGAGTACTTAGTCCACCACTGTCTGTAACTCAGCATTTAATTAAGCTTCTTAGACACCCGCAGCCATATTTTCAACAAGAGGAGATGCATTTTATCATGTGCTACATTATTGAATTTCATTTTCCACCATTTCCCTTTTTTCCCCTTTACCTCCATTTTGTCCAAGTTTTTCTCTCTTCTCCCTGAATCTTGTATCTCCTTCACTTGTTCCCTCTCCACTTACATTTCTCCTGGTTGTCTCCTATCCTATATGTATCCTCGGCAATATAAAAATGTAAACATTCCTCTCTTCCTCAGTGTTGCTGCGTGAGGAGGTGGTCCAGCTCCAAGAGGAGGTCCACCTGTTGAGGCAAATGAAGGACATGTTGAGTAAAGACCTGGAGGAAACCCAAGGAGGCTGCTCCGCCAATCTGCTCTCTGCCACTGAGCTCCGTGTGCAGCTGGGTGACAAAGAGCAGGAGCTGGACCGGGCCAAGGAGGCCTTACAAGGTCAGGAACTTGTACTTTGTTGCATCGCTTGAACACCAGGGTAGCTTATTTTCAACACTTTCATAAAAGGCGAATTCAACCTGGCATATTAAAAAGAAAATCATTACCTAATCAGATTACAAGTGCACAATTCATGTGTACATGTGTCAACATTCTGCCTTTTGAATCGGGCGTCTCCCTTGATGAGCAGCCAACCAGACTTCAGACCTGATTTAACTTAACATTCATCAAGCGTGACTGAAAAGCTTTACTCCTAAATATCAATGTGTCAGTGGCAGACATGAGTTAAAACAATAGCGAACCCACACATAATTTCCTGCTTCAAAAAAAAAGAGAAAAAGGCTTTCAGGTGTTACCTGTGAGCGTCACGTAACGCCTGCAAAACAGGTTTGAGGGTTCTGAGTAAAATATTAGGTTGATGATCACTCACCGGAGGAATGCACCCTCAGTGACACATGTACAAAATACAGGTTCTTTTCGTTCTTAAGCAAGGGTTTAAGAGGAGTATTTGAATTGTTTCTGCCTGCGCAGAGCCTCACCAGCTGCATCATTGCTGTTGAGCTGTCTCTGCATGAGGGTGACGATGGAATAAATCAAATTTTATCATCCTTCTCAAATACGAGCCTCCACATGCCAGCTGAAAATAGTTTCTCATATGAATGAATATGTTCCACTGTGCCACTTGTGTTTTCTGATCATTTTCTGAAGGCCAAAACTCCAGCAGCTTCCCTCTTTAACAGATGACACAGTGCCACCTAGTGGCTTTTCAATGTGAATGTAAATTGTTCTTTCTGGCTTAAAGAAATTGTGTTTCACATCACATTTGCCTTTCTCTGACAATTTAAGTGTCTTTTGAAATGCTAGAAACACACCAATCATTGTGTCGATGTTGATCTGTGCGTTGCAGCCATGAAAGCTGACCGTAAGCGGCTAAAAGTGGAGAAAGGTGACTTGGTGAGTCAGATGCAGCAGCTGTACACAACACTGGACAACAGAGAAGAACAGCTGCGAGAATTCATACGCAACTATGACCAGCACAGAAAGGTACCAGTCCCAGTCCAGATAGTGGCTTTTTGAAGATACATCCTCTGAAGTGTCTGTACCAAAAATACCAATTCATTAACCAAGTTCCTATATGAGAAATTTGTTAGCAGGAAACTGACATTAAGTTAATGAGGGGTTAATTTGTGTGTTGTTTTGAGTATATTTTAAAATTCTGTGAAGCATTTTTCAAAGAATATACCAACCATAAGGGTAGTAACGCTAGATGGATAGTGTTGCCATTTTTTTGAAAACATAACATGTTCTCTCCATCTCATGGTGTCCAACCTTGTGAATAAACCAGTGAATAACGGAGTGCGATTAGCTTTTTAATCCACAATTATGCGATCTGATCACTCGATGTTAATCAGCAGAAACTGTGAATGTGGTTTCTGTAGGAGAGTGAGGATGCAGTGAAAGTCTTGGCGAAGGAGAAGGACATGCTGGAGAGGGAGAAATGGGACCTGAAGAGGCAGACCAAAGAAGCTACGGAGCAGTCCAACATCCTGCGCTCTCAGATGGACATGAAGGAGAACAGGATTAAAGAACTGGAGGCTGAGCTCACCATGGTGAGTCAACCAGGTCACAGATCCAACTTTCCTCTCACCTAAACCTCATTCGCTGTTGTGTTTGTGTGATGACAATACAAACACAGTGTGGGTGACGTATTTGTGTGGGTACAAACATGAGCGGTGTGCTAATTTACTTTATGCGCTCATCTGTTTTCTCTCTGTGTTGGCGGTGGTTCTGTGTTGGCTCCTCAAGGGTACAGCCAGCTGTCAGTCTGTGTGTCACGAATATTTCTCCCCCCTTTGTCAGTCACAAAACCCACAGATCCTGAGAGTTTCATACACCTCTTCACTTTTCTTGATCAAATCACATGAAAATAACTAAAACGCGTGTATGTTGTTGATCACCAAACAACTATTCGCTAGTTGTAATACAAAAAAACAGAATGACAGAAGCTCAGTTACCTGTTCTTTGCTAAATACCTCTTTTTTAACCCTGTTGTGTCGGTTTTGAATCTCCAAAGTGGGAGAAATATAATGTTGAATCCATTATGCATCAGCAACAGCAGGGCATAACCCTGTCAGTAGGAAATAGTGTCATGTGGAGTATTTTCCCTTGTGAAAGATTTTGTCATAAAAATTAAGATGCAACAGATCCAAAATAAACAAAGAGAGGGATTGTGTGATCTGCCAAACCTAAAGGATATTTTGCAATGTTGATTTTAATAGTGGTGAAATGAATGAAAGGAGAGCATTCTCTACTCAAAGGAGAATGGTTCTGATTAGTTTTCTTTAGTTTTCTGTTTAGCAATCAAATTCTGTGTGGTTTTTGATCAGCTGTGGTGCCATCACTGATTTGACAGCCTTTAAAAAGCTGAGCTGAGAGTATTTCGAGAAGAAAGCTCTCATTTATCTCTTGCTTAATGTCTGTCTATTTTGTGTCTTGCAGGCAAAGCAGTCTCTGTCCACTCTGACAAAGGATGTACCGAAACGCCACTCGCTGGCCATGCCCACAGAGCCTATAGTGAACGGCAGTCAGGAGTGGGTGATGCAAACTGACCTGCCACTGACTGCCGCCATCCGCCAGAGCCAGCAGACCCTCTACCACGCACACGCCACCGACAGACAGGGTAGGCCTTCCGATCCACTCTGCCGTTTCTGGGTTGCTCGGTGATGCTTAAACAAACTCACACACTAACAGTGGGTTTCTCAGAGGTTTCTCATACTAACTCGGGGGGGGGATTTTCAATGTCTGTCAACTTGCATGTGTGTGATCAGCGGTGGTCAGGATCAGTCCCTGCCACTCTCGGCAGCCCTCTGTGATCTCTGACGCCTCAGCAGCTGATGGGGACCGCTCATCCACACCCAGCGATATCAACTCGCCTCGTCATCGGACGCATTCCCTCTGCAATGTAAGAGCTGCCCGCCCCCCCCCCCCCCCGGACCAAGTAATCACACCTCCACAATCTTCTGTCCGTGCCTCCCTCTCCATTGTGGTTTGTGTGTCTTTCTCTGTCCTGACAGCCTGATGGGTTCAGCCTGGTTGCGCAATGGTGGTGGAGTTATTTTAAACTGATATTTTTCACACAGCAGAAGCTGAGTTTGATGAAAAGATTGAAAGCTCCCTCCCACTTATAAGTTGCATGCCATTTTCATTTTCTACAGCTGCTTTATTACTTAAATTTTTTTCTTAAACAAAAAAAACAAAACAAAAACTCTTTACCCTCTGGGTGATGTTGGAAACTAACAATTGTGAGCTATAATCTTCAGACATGTTGGCATCACTGTTAAGAAACAGACCTAATTCTGTGGTGAGTATCAGAATTAGATGTCCTTGGTCCGGTAATTGTATTGAAATATTGAAAGTGGAAAAGACAAAGAAATTTTACTCTGTTTTATTCGTCTTCTCATTTGAGTTTGTTGTCTTTATACTAGAGAGTTTCCCTTTTTTAATCTAATGCTCACTCCCCAATGTCAAGCAATAATACTTTAAGATAAGTGGCAATTTGCTAATTCTGCTGATGAATCATTAAATTAATCGTAGTCCTTCCTCTCCATTCACAACCACAGCACTGGATATGGACTTCAAATTATTCTTTGATCACTGCATTTTTGTTTTCATTTTATTTTTACACGGCATCCAACTTTTTGGGAAATGCAGAAGCAACATGTTGCCCTATAACCTGGTGACCTATAAGAGTCTATCACATTCAGCCAAGTGAATTAGGGTTATAAGACCACATAAACCTGTGATTTCATACAACATTGTCCAACACTATGTCTTTTGCACAGCTAGCTAACATGAACTCTCTGTTTCATCCGCCTGCTCAGTCTATGGAGGACCTGGAGGACCAGAAGCGTAAGAAGAAGAAGGAGAAGATGACTCTGGGATCCCTATCACGGGTGTTCACTCGGAACAAGCAGCGCAAGTCACTGGACCCTGGCTTGTTTGATGGTACAGCCACCCCTGATTATTACATAGAGGAGGATGCCGACTGGTGAAGCTGAGTGTGTGAACGTGCTGAATGTCCGCACGTGGATATTTCCTCTGGATATCCACATTGCTTTAATTGTGTGTGTGTGTGTGAAGACTGTGTTGTTTGAGGGTTTGTGAGGTAGTGGAGCGGGTCGATTTTTAAAGAAAAGCCCCCAAAAAGACTGTCCCATACATCCACAAAAGTGTACAGTATATTAACCTAAGATTGTATGTTTGTAAATTAGATATATATTTATAGTTGCACATGTATGCATATGTATATATGTTTACATGCTTATAGATATATATATATATATATATATATATGGGGTTACTACAATGTGTAGACATGTTAATGCTGTACTATCTTTAAAAAATGTCTTAATGTTTTATGTTTTTATAACTGGAGACTTGAAGGACTGCTGTTGATATGTACATAGGAGCTATTGTTAAACTAGTGTTTTACTGTACATGTCATCTGGTTTTTGTTACTCCACAGCTGTTTTCATCCTGTTTTGCAACTCTGATTTTCTAAGTTTCTTCTTATTCCCAGCATTTCAGGCCCATCACTTACAATGAGCGAGGACATATCACATGATTAACTTAAAACACATTTATTGGAGTTTACTGGCCAAATTGTGTTGCTTTGAAAGACAATCTGTGGGAGAGGTACTGCTGTTACAAGGCTGTCATTGTGCTCATAAAATGCTGACTCACAGTATCTGCTAAAATTCTGCTGTGAGCATCAGGGATTTTTGGGTGAAGGCCCCTTGTGCAGTTTGTTGAGAAAATGAATTTGCTGATCGACAGGGGGGGGGGGCTTTAGTGTCAGTCTTCCATAGAAAATTAAGCTGTGCAGACTTGAATATACAAAGAAAAAGATATCAGAAAATCAGCTGTAAGTTACAGTCAGGAGCACATCTTGTCTGCTGTGAAATCATGTGCAAGTGCCAAATGTTTAACACTCATCTTTGAAGAGTCTGTGTGTCACTGTTAGGACTAGGCTTGTCACATTGTTTATGTCTGAGTCATTTTTTATGGAGTGCTCTCTAACATGTGCCAATCTGAGATGAAGGAATCTGCATTGCACAATGCATGATCCTTCTGTGTTGCTTTGCTTAGACATTCATTCATTTTGTATCAGATTAATGCTCTTGATCCTATAAAACCCCTTCCTGTTAACAAAGTCACTCTTGCATTATGAATGCATGCCTGCAATTCCCACCTCTTCCTGATTTTTTCCTGTTTTTGCTTTTGCTTTGCATAGGATCCCTCCTCATTTTTTTTGCAAATGTTGCTCCAAGAAATCTGTTAAATGCTTTGTAATTTAGGAAATGCTCCAAAAAAGAAATCTATTGAAACATTTTATTTAAAAATGAGATACACAATGAGGTAACTTCAAATATTCATCTGCTGCAGCTGATGCGGCCAGATGTACAGGAGGTTTGAACCTTTTCCAAATGAATTATAATTGAAATGAAATCTTATTTTAAAAAATAAAACTAGAAACTGAATACCACGTGGCAGTTTTCTGTTCCATGAGTAATATTGTTCTTGTGTCCCAGTCTAACGTGTCTTTCCCGCTCCTCCTGCCATTTCTAATGGCAACTTTCTCCTACCAGTGAGTAACTCCTCATCTGTGATTACCAGCTGTCTGTTTCTGTACTCTGGGGATTATTCATATCACTCATATCCATCAGAAAATACAAATTCGTGTTAATGTTCTTTGAAAGCTGTTGTGACAGCAGGATTTGCATGCAGCCTCTTTGTCAGCATGTAGAGACAAATTAGATAAACACAAGAGTTCATCCTGGATCAATCCGTCCAGTATGAATCAGTGTGTCCTGAGGTGTCTTAAATGGCCAGGAGCATGATTTTATGAATGATCCCTGTGTCTCTAATACATTATCCTAGTGGTATTAAGTCTCTTCATGACCATCATATAGTTATAGTTTTTTAATAGCTTCACTGAGCATTGACACCATACTGTTAAAACCGCTGCACCACATCGGAGGTCAACACGTATTTAACTAAATTTCAACACCAGTTTAACATTGTACACATCCAATATTGTAGTTTTTTACGGTTAATTAGCTTTAGTTAATTGACTAACTGCCTTATAGGTGAGACATTGTGGCACCATCTGGTGGTTCTACAGCGAAACGTCGAATTTATACCAACTAGTTGTCCAGTAGGATGACCTGCTGCACAACAAGAAACAATGCTGTTATTGCTAGATTTGGGCTTTTTAGTGTAGATTGTGGAAGATCACAAGAGGGTTATTTTTATTTAGATTTTGATTACTGATTGGCTGCACGATTTTCTCCAGATAAGTCACTTTTTTCGATGTCCATTTTCCTCTGACCCTGAACTTCTCCTGTATGCGACACCATAAACCTGTCCTGACCAATCCAGACTCTGACAGCCTCACACAGCACAGCCTGTCTGATGGAGAGGAGCAGCTGGACCGCCTCCAGCAGGCGGAGCTGACTCGGACCACTTGCATGTCAATGTGGAGGGCTGGAGCCGTGCAGGCCTGGATGGAGGTTGTCATGGGAATGCCTATGTACCTCCGCGCCTGCTCAGAAAACATCAAAAGTGGGAAGGTAGAACCTTTGCTACAAAACTTACTGTACCTTTTAGTCATTTTCTGTTCATTTAAAAGAGCAGTGTGTGTTCTAGCAGATGATCATAGCAGGTGCTGCTAATGATTCATTTCTTAAAAATGGATTACTGCTTTTCTAGGTGCTGCTGGGCCTGACAGATGAGGATTTAGAGCTGGGTCTGGGCATCAGTAACCCAATTCACCGCAGAAAAGTCAGATTGGCCATTGAAGATTACAGGAGAGCTGAAGGGGAACAGGGGTAAGTAAAAGCCTGTAGAGGATTCCTAAACTGTTTACAAAAAGGGATTATTGTCTCACAAACTGAACAAGATTTAACATTAAAGATTAAGGTTTGAGTAAAAATTGGACACTGTATCTTTAAATGTCCCCCACGTGCAGTGATGTGTCTCAGCTGCTTTGGCAGAAAATAGGGAAACTAACTCATACTGTTTGGGCAGATTGGTGTAGAACACACAGCATTAATTTGATTCTGACCCTGTAGGCAGATCCCCGTCTAATGCAGAATTTTACTGTCCAGTTTCTTTATCTGTTGCTTATTGGAGCCTGTTCATCCTCTAGACTGTCAAAAGCCTCTGAGATGGACCATCACTGGGTTTCAGCGTCGTGGCTGAGTGACGTGGGGCTGCCTCAATACTCCCAAACCTTCCAGAGTCACTTAGTGGACGGACGTGTGCTGAACTCTCTCAGCCGCAGGGACCTGGAGAGATTCTTTAACGTCAGTGACCAGTTCCACCAGACCAGTTTGCTTCTGGCTATTCAGCTCCTGCAGATGCTTAGCTTTGACAAAGAGGTCAGGCCACAGGTCTTGTGATATCATAATTGCATAAACTGCCACAAGCATAAATCATTACCGCTTGTGGCTTTACTTCTGTAAAGCCACAAGAGGGAAAGTTTTCTCTCATGTTTCTTCTATTTTGAAACAATCGAAAACTTTTACATCAACGGTACCAAACTCCTGTCCTCGAGTGCCGCTCTCCTGGAGGTTTTAAAGGTTTCTCTGTTTCAGTACACCTGATTTAAATAATGTGCCTTTGAGCAGGCCTGTGCAGAGCTTTAAATTGTTTTCAAGAGATCCATTTCATCAGAATTAGGCTTGTAGAAGCCGGTAAACCTCCAAAACCTGCAGGACAGCAGCCCTCGAGGAACAGAGTTAGACAGCACTGTTTTAGATTGATAGAGAGAATGTAATTGAACAAATGAGAATATTGCACGTGCTTATTTAGTTACTGGTTAAATAGATCTCCTATATTTTTCTGAAGTTTTTTCCTCTGAATCGTGTGTTTAGTGGTGTGAACATTTCTGAAAACAAGGTAATCGTGTGACCCACCCCTGCGTTTTGCTCAGTGGCAGCCTGGATAAGCTCCAGCCTTGTTGCGACCCCAAACTCGATTAAACATTTATAGAAAATTGCTGGGTTTTACTGAAAGATGAAGTCATTTATCAGAGGAATCCAAACACAAAGGGAAAGCTTCTCTTTACATAGGATGAGCTAAAATTGCCCCCTGCTTCTTCGCAGAGTAAATCAACATCTGCAGGTACAAGAAGTGTTCAGCTGGAGTTAATCAGTTTAGTCAAGATAACCCACATCAAGGTTCACATACTTACGCAACACTAAGAATAGCTGTGTGGAAATCTGAGGATCTCCTTTTGGATATGAATATTAATCATTCTGAAGAGTTCACAAACTCAGTTGCACCATTTTTAAAAAGTTTGCAGCACTCATATTGTTGCATTATCTCAGCAGAACTTCATCCTGGCCTGATCTTACTCTCTGTTTTCGTTGGCCCTGGCAACAGCAGTGCCTTGTATTCTTAGTCATTCATTTTGCTGTGTTTTCATAGGCCCTGCAGACACGGCGGACAAAATGTGAGCACCAAAACCAGGACCCGATTGTTTGGACAAGTCACAGAGTGATGAAGTGGATCAGAGACATAGACCTCAAGGTGGGCGAGGTGGTCAGTGGTGGTAGGCTCCTCTCGTATGAAATTGGGCGGCCAGATACCACAAAGTATGAGTTTTTAGAAATGCCTCAAAATAATAAGGGTCCTGTTGCTTTGATATCTCGTACCGCTAAAATAATACAGATGAAATAACAGAAGTGTGTTCACTGTAATGGGAGACGGACCACACAGTAGGATTTTTTAAAATGTCTCAACATGCTTATTTCTGGAGAACGAGAAGCAATTATAACTTCTTCCAGCTGAAAAATAACGAAAATAGGCAAACATGTTTTTGAAAGTTATTCTCCACATGTTATTAGTGCCAAATTTCACCTCCAGACAAACATAAAAAACCATGAAATTAGTTTTTTTTTCTTGTTTCCTTCCTTCTTGTTTCCCTTCTTTATTTTTCTTTCCACCTTTCTTTCTTGCCTTCCTTCTTGTTTCCTTCCATTCTTTCTTTCTCAATTATGAGGAGCACAGTGAACCTATTGTGGCTTGCTTCTCTTTCCAGGAGTTTGCAGACAATCTTCAGGGTAAAGGCATTCATGGGGCAGTGATTGCTTTGGATCAGTCCTTTGACACAGATGCCATGGCCAAAGCACTGGGAATCCCCAGCAACAAACACATGCTGCACAGGCATCTCTACGAAGAGATGAAGCTACTTGCTGTTCCTGCCAGGTGACTGAACTTTCCCTTTATTTCGCTTAATATGAATCAACTACTTATATTTTGCATTGACGTTTTGCATCCTTCAGATTCTTATTTTGAATTCTATTTCCTTAGCACACAGTCTCAGGTATCATGAATGTGGCCAAGTAGTTTGCCATAATGTTTTGTAATGTCTCGGGTTTTCAGTCATGCAGAGCGGGAGGCAGAGATTATTACTTCTTCTCCTGTGGCTGTTAAGCGCTTTACTGATGAGAGGGTCTCAATCAGAAGATCAGGAAAGGTAATTACTGATTTCTCTTTCTTTCTGATATCCACTTTGTATGTAGCTAATTTACTAGATAAATACATTTATGTAAATACATTCAACAGCAATTTCTAACAACAATTTCTCTCAATTTGAGGAATGCTTCACTTTTTTTTATCAGGGATTCATTACAATGCAAAACCTGCCTGTATCTTACGCCTAAAAATAATCTCAGCATTTCATTTTTTGTTTTTTCTTTTTGCCAGAGTCCACTGAGGCTGCGTGCAAACAGCCACTCTGTGGAACGCGGGCTGGGCTTCCACGGCAGCTGTGGCTCTCTGCCCAGAGAGGCCCGGGTCCACGCTGTTCCCCGCGTCAAAGGCAGCCCCATGCACACTTACAAGAGCGTTGAAATCACCAATGTGTGAACCAGCCACTGACTCCTTTACCACTGTTTACACTGTTATTATATTGTAGTTCTTAACTGTTGAGGGGACCAATGCGCAGCGACGCCGGACTTTAAGAGAAAGCTGTCATAAAGGGAGGCAGCGCCACACTTCTGAAGACCTGATGTAGCTGTTTCTTAAATACTAAGGATGATTTCATGACTGGTGATGTCTTCATTTGTTTAATTTAAACTAAATGGTAAAGTCAGTTTTATAAATTATTATGAAAAAATACTTAACAGATTAAATGTATTTGGAATAATGCTCATTGCTCCTTTATTGCCTTATATAAAGTATGTCTTACATGATCTTTGTTACTCACTTAGACTATTTCTAAACAATGTTTCTTGTTGCAGTCGCTGTTCATGTAAGATAATGAAGAATCATGACTGAAGTTTGGAAAAATGTCATTATACCACATTTTACAGCAGAGATACCCCCTTATTTTTTCCCCTGAATAGTCCAGGGCCCTGTGCTTCCAAACAACAAAACAGCTTGATGTTGATTAATTCAAAATTGGTTTGGATAATTTTTTTTCCATTAGGATAATTTCTCAGATTTAAGAATAAGAATAACATCAACTGTGTTCAAGTGATCATTTTTAAAGTGAAAAGAGAGAGAAACATAGTTTATTGTTCAGAAATGCATTTTCTAGTTTATGTTTTATTTATTTTCTTGTTTCTGTAGTTATTTTGTTTTTACTTAAAAACCTGGCTAGAGATTTAAACCAAGACCTGAGATGTAGCGAAATACATATGCAAGAAACTGCTAGTAAGGCCATGCAGGAACTGTACAAAACAAGCTCAGAATTAAACCGACAGAAACAACCTTTTTTTACCTTAAATGACCTCAGCTGCATTCAATACGACGCGATGCTTGTCGATTAATGAGTTGCATAACTATGTCATCCATGTAGTATAGTAAAAATTGTATGAAGCAGCAGAGTACACACATAACAATCTTCTTATGTCCATCACCTGAATTATGATGTGATTTCCCAACGCTGAATTGAACCTTTGTCATAAGATAAACATGAAGATGAATGTTGGAATACGGAAGTGATGACATTTAAAAATGAATGTTTTGTCTTTTTTAATAACTCAATGGAAGAAATGTAGTTGTATAGTTTGATGGTGTTTTTATAACTCATTGCTGTGAAAAACAGTTGCCAACCGTGGCGATGAAAAACATGAATGTCACCACCTTGTCTTCAATACAGCCACTCAGAGTGCCCCCCGGCACATTGTACGGAACAGGTTTTTCTGACATTTTCTGGGCGTCTCCTCAATTCAAATAAGCCAAGATCAGACCTGTTCAAACTTGTACATAGTAAGAAACAGACGGTGTTTTCACACACAGATTAACGCATGACATTTACATCTCCTTGACAAGCTGTCAGCCCTTTTCATATATGCCAGCATTAAAGGTGGTATTACTGTTAGAAACGTTGTGCAAAGTGTAAGCCTGTCACCGTTGTTTTTCCACGCAAATGCATTAAAAGTTATGTTAACAAATTGATGAAATTCCTTTGTGCTTATTTGCTTGTTCGGAGACTGTGGACAGATGTGAGTATTTTCTTAGTGGCATGGTGATATGACAAAAAAAGGCCTCAACATTTTCCAGTTGGCCTTTAGTAATGGATTGTGATATAGTCCTATAAACTATAACAGATAGTTATGTGATCATAAACATTTCCCTGTTATTGAGGCATCTTGGCCTCAGTTCCTATGATAAAAGTAATGAAAAATTTCCACATATTCAAAACAAGGCCAACTGGAAATGCAAACATCACAGCAATATCCGTCCATTGTGTTATTTACAACAGAAGAGAGAAGTTGTAACATGTCATGGACTTCTGCAATATGGGCCATTGTTTTGAGGTGCACAAACTAGTGCTGTTTGAGAGGTTTTTACAGTTCCTGTGACTGTTTGGTTATGAGGTCTCTCCAATCTCTGTCCAATAAGAATAATTGGAAAAGATGAAGAACAAAGAAACTGTAGAGGCTCATGTTTTGACTTTGCAGGAGAATTACGTATACATTATAGTGAAGAGACTTTATGCATTTATGCAAATATCATTCTTTGACCGTACAAGTCTGCAGGTTTGAATATATAGACACAGAAATGATCTACACGGGTTTATGTTGGGTAAGCTGTTATTTCCGAATTAAAAGCTGCGCATTAGGCAACAGAGGGTACAGACTTTCCCATCCTCCAATATGCTAAGAGGCAAGGGAAATCTTTGACCAATGTAAAAGTATATTTTTTGTTGGAGTTGATGAGAAATGGTCTAACCAGTTACTTTTTCATTTTGCTTCTCAGAAAGGTTTGGCTATTAGTAACAGGGCATAATCTGATACGCCGGGATCAATGCAGAGAAGATGGGAGCAAAGGACTGTCCTTGCATGAGTGGGGTTGGTTGGATGGTTATGATGCTATTTTTGGATCGAGACTGTCAACAGCAGGATGCAACCTCTGCATGTATGAAATTACATTAGCCTGCACAAATGTCCATTGATAGTATCAAGATAAAATCTCTGTGAGTGCAAGTGTAACAAATACTTTACCACCTCTGAAGCTTCAACTAAAATGTTCCTCACCCACTTTGACAATCTAATGGTTGCATTTTGAAGATTTGGCCAAAGAAATGTGCTTCTTAATCCTTTTAAGCATGTTCATAAATGATTAAATCATTAGTGAAACAGGGATTTAAATATCAATCACATGCTGTGACTACAATCTGGCCCACTGTGGACCTAAAGAATTAACACAAAAAGGAAGCTACGGACTTTTTTTTTAAATCTCCAATGAGCATTATTTGCTCAGAAAATGCTCATAAGGGATACAAAAATGATAGCAAAAAGCTGTGAACCTTTGCTGCATTAGTGTACCTACATTTTTCTTAATTTACCACGTTCAACAATTACTGATTTACTAACCTGCAGAGCTAAACGGCAGTAAAAGGTTGAGGACTTTTCATAATAAAAAACAAAACAAAAACAATTCTAAAGTACACGAATATAAGGGTTTCTCTTACTTTAGCTATTAACTTATTCAAATCGTTAATGCATGTTAGTTGGATTCTTGACACATTTACTATTATATTTAGATTTCCGACATTTGGAATGTTACATGACAAAAAATATGCATGTTAAACTAAATACAGTCTAATTCCTACTGCAATTAAATGCCCATAAATCCGACACTCTGCTCTCTAATCTTCGACATGACCACTCAGTGAGAGATTTAGTTTAAATTGTGTAGGTCTCTCTTCACTTCGGAATCGAGTTTCTCCATTTGCTCGTTCGTTTCTTTTTCTTTTCCAGGTAGGCCTGTGCTCGCTTTGGGGCGTGTCTTTGTCCCCAGAGGAGGTTTACCTGAGCAGCGCTAGGACCGGGAGGAGGGGTGGGCCCACTTCACGCCCAGGACGGAGCAGCTTTTACTACGGCTGGAATTTGTTCCAACTTTCTGACAACTGAATTTGACCCGCACAGAGACACCGGAGGCGGGGATAAATTTGCATCTGACTTGGAAACAAACAAACAAACAAAAACAAGGGACGCGGAGGGGGGGATGATGGGGGACTGAGTCCGTATTTGCTTTTCCCCACCCTCTGGTCTCCCTGAATGCACCTGCGTGGTTCAGGTAACTCGCCGGTGAAGAGGGAAGTGCGTGGGCAGTGCGCGGTGACAAGGTAAGGCCTGCTTTCAGATCACCAACACCAAACAAAGACCAAACTCAAAGCAACTTGGTTTCCGGACGGACAGAGTTTGAGCTTTAATGGTTTCCCTGCGCGGTTGAGAGGCGTTCAATCAGATCCGTGTCAGAATAAGTTTAAGACTTTCAGGGACGGCGATCTTTTTTTTCTTTTTTTTCTAGGACAGGTACCTCCCCTTAGGTCCCTTCCTTCTGCGCGAGAAACAGAAGCACTTGCTCCACATTTGCGGAGGAAGAGGAAGTTAATCGTGATATTCTTTGACAGTTTTCTCCACGTTTATCAAGATTAGTTCATGTTGATGCTCACAAGAACTAAATAGTAAATAGTTCAAACTCGGTTTAATGTGAGCGGCGCTTTAACGGTGAAAATGCTCAGAAATGGAGGTGGAAAACGCCCCGGCACACCTGCAGGCCTGCAGCACACACCACTGATCTGAATCTATGCCATAGACTCAGACTCAGCTCCGTGGATTCTATGGGGTTGAATCTGAAATGGAACTGGTGTGACTCAGAAATGGCATTTAGAGTGGGGCATTTAATGATTACCAGCAGCTAAAGGGGGAAATAACCCACCCATGAAGCCAGTGCCTATTCCTTCAATAACTGAGGGGGGTGGGTCAGTCCTTATAGGAGCTTGGGGAAAGCCAACTGGACTATGTTGGGGGGTGTTAGAAGAATGGAGCGTGGTTACAGTCTGGATCCCGGGCCGACGTGGGACTCCTTTATTCCCACATGTGGAGTGTCGTTTTCCGTTAGCCGATGCTCCCCTCTTAGTAGTTTATAACCGAAGAAGTCTTTCGACTGAGGGGTAAAACGTGATCAGGATCCAAAAAGGAGTCCGGCTGCATTTTCTCAGAATCTGCACTGATGTTTTTTCAGTCTCGCAAGCCATGCTAAGATTTGACGTGAAACACCAGCTTAGTCTTTATCGGTGGGAAATGCAACCCCATCCCGAGAACTGGGGTGCATCCCTAGATTCTTTTAACGTGATCGATCTTAATAGGACTGCAGGCAGATTGATGAGCCCTGTGTGGGGACTTTCTTGGCCAGCCATGGAGTGACTGTGGGTCAGCACGGTCCTGCTCAAAGGTTCATTGATCGTTTCTCAGTCTTTTTTTTTTCATATTTTCAGACTTAATCGATTAAAATATCCACTAGAAACTGGCAGTGGTTTTGAAACTAGATTCCGTCTTTAACCTGTGATGGTCCATCTCTCTCATCCTTTAGGATCCTCTTGCCCACCTTGCCAGGACCAGACTCTAAACCAACAGAAGTGCTTCCCTCAGCATTTTTTCTTAAATTTTTCTCGCAGTCAGTCTTACTCAGCACTTACTCGGATTGGCCTGGCGTTACATGACCTCAAGCGACTCCCTCACGTGAGCCCTGTGTATTATGAGGACGTAAACCAACATCGAGGTTCAGACCATCCGCCGGCGCTGCCCTCTCACTCATTATTCAATAAAAGCAGCGTCGTGGGCACGTCTGCCCATCTTTCTGTCAGAACCTCATTGGTAATGGAAAACCATCTTAATTGAGTTGTGGCGAGTAGAGCTGAGTGAGGCATGGCAAGTTTATTTGGGTAGCATATTTCTTGTACAAGATAATTCTAAGTGCTTAACAAAGAATTTTAAAGCAGAAAAAAAAGAAAGAAAAGTAATCAACCAAATGAATTAGATAAAAAAGTGAAGGGTGTGGATAAAATACATTCAGTTTCCTTATGCTCAGTTAAACAGAAGAGTTTTCAGCCTGGATTTAAACATTGCCAGAGTTGGGGCCTGTCTCACATCTTCAGGAAGACTGTTCCAGATTTTAGGAGCATGAACCTGAAATGAAGCTTCACCTGGGTTAGTTCTGACTCTGGGCCCCATTAGGAGACCAGAACCTGAGGTTATTGGAGTCCGAGCTGTTTCATATGGCTCTAACATGTCAGAAAGGTATTTCGGTGCTTGACCATGAAGAGACTCGTACACAAGCAGAGTTACTAATGGAGCATAAGTGGTTCCCCGTGGCCACTGGTGGCCCCTCTAGACGGGCTCTGCTCTAACAGGGCTTTCACTTAGCCACCGTTGTTGATTCATGTGTTGGTGTCCTCATCCTGGACCGGTCCGGCTGGCTCTGATGTGATGATGTGCAACTCATTCTCGGTCTCTTCAGTTTCCTTTAAATCCCTACAAATGAAGGCATAAAAAAGCAAACCCCCACAGGTGTGGCCCGGATGCCGTTGACGTTAGCGTTAGCGTTAGCGCTGCTGACTGTGTCGTGTCCCTGCTCTGTCGTGCTGCGTCAGCCCCATGTTGTCCTGTTCAGACATGTGAGGGGCGCCAAAAATGTAGAACACCGACTCTGCTCCAGGAACAATAGCAGCTGTCTCTCGCCGATCAGGGGCTCCGGCTATTTGTTAGAGGCGCAATCATGACACGGCACCGTCCGCACACCCTGACCTCCGCGCTTTTTCTTGAAGCGTTATCTTATGTATCCCGTCTAAAAACCTCTTTTTGTTTGTTTTGTTTTCTCCAACAGCTTGACCTGCAGGAATGTGTTCTAGCCGGAGTATCTGCGGGGGCGGCGAGCGTCCCAGGTCCTCCAGCTCCAGGAGCGGCTCGGGGGCCCACTACGCCCTGTGCGCCCTGGGCGTGGGGCTCATCGCCCTGGGCATTGTCATGATAGTGTGGGTCGTGATACCCGTGGACGGGGAGGACTCCGGGACGTCTCCGACCTCGGCGGGAAACTCCACCACGGAGATCGACAACGGCGACGAGGACGACGATGAACGCACAAAGTCCTCGTCGGTGGCGTTCGTGCTGGTGGGGGTCGGGGTGGTCATGCTGCTCCTGTCCATTTGCCTGGGTGTGAGAAACAAGAGGAGGGCTCAGAGCAGCAGCGACCAGCCGGGGGAAGTGGAAGATCGCTTCATGCAGCACGTGCCGGGGGAGGGGCCAGCGTGAGTTACAGCCCAGTTCTAAGGGACCACTCAGCTCAGTTGAATTAAAAAGTATCAGTTAAATTATTTAAAATACAATTAAGTGAAAACAGTTCATTTCAAATCAGTGTAAATACCAGCATACACCAGCACTTTTGCCACCATAAATTTGTCATTTTAAGACATTTTCTTATCAAATTAGGTGCATCAACTTGCTAACATAACAATGTTAGCATTTTTATTTGCTAAAAGATATAAAGTTATGAGATATCTTTTGAGTGAAAGAAGCTGCCAGCCCCATGGCAGAACTTTTCCACCCTGGCGCTCCAGGCTTTGCAATGTTAGCATTAAGCAACACATTATTCCCTGTGTGCTGGTGCACTACCGAGGGCTCAAATTACCTTTGTGAACCTAAGCAGATGTAAATAAGGGTTCTCTATTTACACTCATTCTGAGGAACTAGTTTATGGGATGGTTAACACCAACAAAAGACTTCGGAATCAACCAGAAAAATAATGGAAAAGTATTCAAACCTTTTTAGCGCTAATAATTTATTACTGTTTTAACCTTCTTCCAAAATCTCTCCAAACCCAGCTCGCAATTTTTTCAACTTTAATCACACGTAAAGACTCGAGCCACGCTTCATAGTTGAATCTTTTTGTCGTGTTAATAGTAGAAATGAGCTGCCCTCATTCACATGCATTTGTTTCAGTATGCATCTCACATTAGACCACTGGGGCTACGGGTGAGCCCACAGCCACTTAAATCATATCATTATCCACGTTCTACTAAAATTCTCGTTTCATGAGAGTCATGTGACGGTAATCACCGGTCGAGAAATGAAACTTGTGTGCCAGGAATGCGTGCAGGGAAGCTGCTGAAGGGCTGTCTCTCACACAGTCCAGTGGTGAAGCGCAGTACCGTTAATTATCATAGTTGTAAACCGTCAAGACGGAATGTTTAAACAGCTGTGTTATTCATCCAGTAGCGCGATTTGATGGATGCCTCCGAGCAGATGATCACAATTCAAAAATTGGCAGCATAATGTCAAAGTTTACGCTTACGCGCAACCTTGGAAGTATGCACACGTCTTAATTAGGTGTGACCCAGACTCTGAAAATGCGACGGAAAAGCCGCGGAATTCTGGGAAACTTGCATTTAGAGCGAACCTTTTAAGATGCTGCCAGCTTAATGGATAGTAGGGGCCTGTCTGAAAATGGCCTGAGACCACAAGAGCTGCCGGGCACACTTAAATCTCCTGTGGTGTCTCCGTTTTTGGATAAGCATCAAACTAGACTAAGGAGAAAACCAATCTGTCCGCATCACGTCGGCACGTGAAATTGTTAATATGTCTATGTTTTTTAATTACCTGGACATCCGTTTTACATCAGGCCCTTTGGCTGCATTTTCTTTAGGTGTTGGTGAGTGAGTTGGGATCGTGGTTTCTCATTTTTCGAAAGAGTTTTTCCAGTTGTTTTGGTTTTGTTTCAGTAAAAAAAAGAAATTAAAAATGAACATTTCACCTTTAACCCGTTCACTCACGTCTGAATAGTTTTGACTTAAATTTGACCTTCTGTACACACCTTCTGGTTGACCCAAATATCGCTGGGTCGTAGATGTTAGCAGTTAGCAGAGATGCAGAAGATTATTTTGATAAAAAGTCAGACTTTTTTTGCTTTTCTTCCAAGGGTTGCTGAACTTAAACTGAGCTGGTTAACGGCACTTTTAAAACTTAACCTGCTAAGAGCAACAGTGTGTCAGCCGGGGGTGCGTTTGATTCTCACTCTGCTCCTCTGTCGTCCCTCTCCAGAGCGGTGGAGCCGGACGCCTACAACGTGCCCAGCTACGAGGAAGTTGTGGGCAGCGGCGAGTACCCCGTCCGCCACAGCAACCTCCGGCAGAGCACTTCGCAGCTGCCGTCCTACGAGGACATCCTGGCGGCCGTGGAAAACGAGGGACGGGAGCTCGCCGGCAACAACGCGGCGGAGGGCTCCCCTCTCAACGGCCCCCCGGCGGCGCCCGCCCAGGCCGCCGCCGCCGAGCCTCAGGGGGAGCACGCCGGCCTCACAGCCAACCCCAGCCTACCGGCTCGCAGCAGCAGCCGGGCCAGCCGCCTGCTGCGGCCCCTCCGGGTGAGGAGGATCAAGTCAGACAAACTCCACCTGAAGGACTTCCGCCTCCAGATCCGCACCCCCACACAGAACCCCGTGACCATCGAACCCATCACTCCGCCTCCACAGTATGATAATAAAATGCCCGAATTACAGTAGGCAGCGCGTCCCGTCCTGTGGACTCCCCAAAAATGGTTTTGATTCAAAGTGAACGGAAATCTGTGATATTTAAAGGTCTAATCTTTGTGAAAACCTAATTTTAAGAATGTTTTTTTAAGGAGTATCTTTGGTGGCAGGGTAGGGTCGTGCAGACACAGCCCTGAAATGAGGAAACTTCAGGTGGAGCTCATCTTTTTTTCTTTTACAGAAGCTGGTGAGCGGCATGTTTCTTTGTTTTTTCTGTCTTAATGCATTATAAGATGTGTGTGAAAGCCATAAGCTCTGGTTGGTGCATTTCTTTTTTTCTTTTCTTTTCCTGAAGCAATTATGTCAAACATTGGGCAAGTTGTATAAAAACCAATATCCTATTTACAAATTGTTTCTTTGATTGTTTCTCTCATTTGGAGTTGGTGCCATTGTGGTAAAAATCTGACCCAGGTTCTTATAAGAGGAGAAGAGGGAAGTTGATTATATGTAATATTGTCAAATCGAATAGTCAGATTTTATCATCTGTAACTGCCAAAAATGCAATTCAAGACTTATTAATGGTCATTTGTGCCTTCACGCGGGCTGTTTTTAGCATCTCTGTCTTGAAAAAAGGAGCTCCAAATATCCGATGGACAGATGTAAACCATCCTTTACAGCCGCATGTTGCCTGGTGTTGCCACACTAACCAAACGTACAGCTCATTGCATCTGGGGCCTTTTGTGAATGTTGATATGTTGATGTTTTTATTCTATCATTTAATGATGTTTTTGTTACAAAATGTCACTGAATTTAATTTATGTATTCGAATGTCAGTGTTAAAATTAGTAAATTGACAAACTGATCTTTGTAAAAAGTTGCAGGACGAGAGAAAAGGCCTCACTGATCCATTCCTCTTTTTTTCCAATAAATTTCTTTTTTCTTTGTCTCAATTTGCATGCTTTTAGTTTCATTGTTGTATTTATTTGGAAAAGACACATGACTTTTGGTGAATAAAAATGTAACTTTAAGGTTTGATCTATTCTTGTTCAGAACCATCTCAGGGGGGAAAAATTCAATCAGATTTAATAACTTTTTAAAGAGTCTTTGACTTCTGTTTAGCATCCTCTAGTGGTTACAAAAGTTAAAAGACCAAATGTGACCATCACTCTCAAAGTAATTATACAATGACAGGTCATCTGCTTACAGTTTAAGAACACATTGCTGGACTAAACAGATTAAATAATTTTACTGTTTTTATGGAACCTCCCCTCTCAGTATCCATTTGTAAGAACTTTAAGTACTTGAAACACTAATGGTGATAAAAAACAACACACTAAAACACTAATGGAGCTCGAAGTTTCAAATGGAATGCAATATTTCTTTTGAAAAACGCAGGGAATACGCTTAAGTAGAACTGAACACAGCTTTAATACACTGACCAAGTCCACTTGGATTCCACTACTTCAAGCTTTGCATACCTTTAATACTGAGAACCGGATGTATGATGGGAGGGAGACCAGAAATAGATGCCAAAGCTGAGCTGCATGAAAACCTATCTATCAAACGACTGACACTTAATCTGTGGTATTTTAAGATCATTCATAAAGTAGTTTATGGAAGATAACCCCGTCCAGCCAAAAATACACAACGCCTAAAAAAATCATAAGGAAATGCTCGTTATTCTCCTTGTCTGTCTTTGATAAAGCATCTGTTTTATGACACAGTGAAATAAGACTTACAAATCAAACTAAAAGATAATATTGCAACCATGTGCAAACTCAAATTCACATGAGATATATGATAACAAATCCATTATATTCAGTCCCTGTGTGAGTAATCAGCACTTCTGATGATTAAACATTTTATAAAGACTTGTGTGTTCTGTATGCATATTGTTGAATATGTAAATCGGTGGGCAGGAAGCACAGATAAGCAGTATTTCTGAATACGAAATGTTGCTTATCTTAAGCACTGTCTTAGTCATGTAGAAAATCGAAAATATTCCAAGTTATCTACACTATGCCCGATATGCAGCACAACTGAAATGCAGTTCGCTACATTGGAAATGTCAGTTCATGCTCCCTCTGCCTGTTTCTGCACTTTCAAACCAGCATTCAGCTGGAAATAGATCTTCCGTCTCGTGTTCTCGACACTTTCTGCAAAAAGAAACAAAAAAAAAACCCCGAAGTGCAGGTCTGGGAGGCTCATACATTTGAAGTGGTGACTTGGAGTTTATATTTTCAGTATGAACTTCGTTTTCCAGAGCTCCACCCTTCGCTTCGGTTTAGAAAGATTTTTTTTTCTTTGACATTTTTTTTCTTTTTTTCTTTTTTTTCTTTTTTTTTCTGTGCAGCTGCCATGCAGCGGGGGGAGGAACAGCTGGCTGAGGGAACAGCCAGCCCGGGGAGTCAGTCACATTCCTGGCTGGGATTCAATGACTGAACCAGACACAAACAAACAGAGAGAGGCAGAGAGAGGCAGAGACGCACACTGGGTGAGTGGGGAGACAGACTGAGAGTAGCCTACGCCAGACTGAGCAGACTGAGGCTTAATTCGGGCGCACGTTAGGAGTGCGTAAAACCGCAGCGCCACCGAAACGCCGAGCCCCGCCGATCGGGACGTTGGATAACGCAACTTCGACTCTCCGAGTTTGACCACTTTATTTGCGTCGTGTACGGGAACTGCCCTGTGATTTCAGCGGCTTTCCTTTTTTCCCTTTTTTTTTTCTGAATGGACGCGCCGGGAGGCTTCTCTGCCTACATGGAAATGCGCGTTACTGAGCGCGTTGCCGGATGCTGAGGACGCCCGCTCCGAAAAAGTGAGTCTGCTTTCCTTTTTTTTTTCTTTTTTAGTCCCGAACTCTCGTTTCCGACCGACGGCAACATGGAGGGCGCTAGCTTTCAGCCCCATCCCGGACTCCAGCAAACTCTCAAGCAGTTTCATCTGAGTTCCAGCCGCTCTCTGGGCGGCCCGGCCGCCTTCTCCGCCCGCTGGCACCAGGACGCGCTCTTCTGCAAAGATGGCAAAGCCGCCGAGCTGATGCTCTCCCTGCCGGCCCAGACCCCGCCGGTCATGTCCGGCCCGCTCTTCATCCCGTCCGACCGCTCCACGGAGCGGTGCGAGACGGTGCTGGAGCGGGAGCCCATCTCCTGCTTCGTGGTCGGCGGGGAGAAGCGCCTGTGCCTGCCGCAGATCCTCAACAGCGTCCTGAGGGACTTCTCCCTCCAGCAGATCAACTCGGTGTGCGACGACCTGCACATCTACTGCTCCCGGTGCACGGCCGACCAGCTGGAGATCCTCAAAGTGGTGGGCATCCTGCCCTTCTCGGCTCCGTCCTGCGGGCTGATCACGCAGACGGACGCGGAGCGCCTGTGCAACGCGCTCATCTACGGGGGGGCCTACCCCCCCCGCTGCAACAAGGAGCTGGGCTCCCTGGAGCTGGAGCGGACCGAGACCAGCTTCAGGGTCTACCACGAGTGTTTCGGCCGGTGCAAGGGGCTGTTCGTCCCGGAGCTGTACGCCGGCCCGGCCGCCGCCTGCATTCAGTGCATGGACTGCAGACTCATGTACCCGCCGCACAAGTTCGTGGTCCACAGTCACAAGAGGCTGGAGAACCGGACTGTCCACTGGGGCTTCGACTCGGCCAACTGGCGGGCTTACGTGCTCTTAGACCCGGACTACACCGACAAGGAGAAAAGCCACCTGGAGCAGCTGCTAAAGGAGTTGAAAGGAAAATACGACCTGACGGGCAAACTGTCCAGTAAATCCTGCCGAGTAAGTCATTGTCTCTTTATTTATTCTGCCTCTGAGGATATCTGCCTCTATGATATTGGTTATTTATTAACATCGGTGGATATTTCTACAGCTCTACGCCCCCCCCTCCATTGATTAACTTTCATTTGAGCTTCACCCCCTATTAGGCCTGACATAGTTTTTATTTATTTATTTATTGGTTGCATCTCTCATGTGTGCGCTCAGTCACTTCTTTCTGTCTGGTCTACATGTGTGCCATGAAACACCTCACAGGAAACACCTCGCTCACCTCATATACGTCCAAAAGAGGTGAAGTGAAGCCATCAGCTCCAGCCCCTGAGCATCCATCCCATCTTCACCCCACCCCCCTCACAGTGACCCCAAGGGCATCTGCATTATGATGAATGAGCTCTCAATGATATATTTTATGAGTGTCAGTGAGCGGAGAGGGGAAGGGGAAGCCAGTGACATGTGGGGAAGGGTGTAAGGGTTTAATGAGGTTTGGAATATGGAAATGTGCATGTGTGTGTGTGTGTGTGTGTGTGTGTGTGTGAGTGAGGGAGGGGGGTTGTGGCTTCTTGCGTGGGTCAGAGATGTTCAGGGCCAAGGGGGCGAGGTGGCTGTTTCTTCATCACAGAGCAGCTGTTATGTGGGACTCTGATAATGAGTGGACGTATCAGTGTGCATCACCACAGCTCCCAGCAGAAGCCGGGATCAGACCGTCTCCAAAACGGAGAAGGCATGTCCACGCATGAAATAAAAGGAAGGAATTTCAGAAAAAGATATTTGTTTTCCGGCATTGGCTGCCGATTTATGTTTTCATAATTCCATTAACAGGATGCTCCTGACATTTGACGCATATCGTTCTTCGTTTTTATTCTTTTTTTTACAAAGTCCGGTACCTGTGGTTGATATCGTCCTAACTGCCATCGGCGGATGGTGATGTATCACCTGCGCGGTGCATATCTCCTCAAAACGTTGATGAAACGTTGAGTCCTGAGCTGGCAGCCTTTCAGTGTGTGTGTGATAAACTGCGCACGGGGCCGGAGCATCACGGAGGCAGCGTGGTGGAGGGGGCAGCGCATATTTGCTGTGGTTCACTGTCAGTTGTGTTCCAGTTAGCAGACAGGCCCCGGTCCTCCGGGAGCGGCACACCAGCACTCTCCCATACATCAGCCTGACAGGCCAAGCTGCTGAAAGGTCGGACCAGGGCTCTCGGGCAGCGTTTGGCTCGGCTTACCCAAAGAAATGAAGACACAATGTTATCGGCCTGCCACAGCCTCTCTCTGATGTCAGAGTGTTTTATTAATAAGAGGCAGGTTACCTTGTCTGTTTGTATCATCTGTCTAGACTCCTTCCATATGTACTGGATGAGGGGGCTGGTGCGGATACAGCGCTGGTTAAAGGATTATTGTTCCAGAGTTTTCTTGGAATGTAATTTGGAATTATAGCCGTGATTGCAGAAACACTGCAGCCAGCTCACAAAAACAAGGGCCAGATCGGGAGATCTGTTTTGCATCAAATCCAGCATTGGGTAATTTTATTGTTTTCCAAATGTGCAGATGAGGGCAGATTGCAGAGAGGATGCCGCAGACTTTCTCATTCAGGAGATGCAAAGTGTTCGAGCCGGGCCTTGACATGTGTTGTCCAAGGGCCACAACCTCTGACCTTTCCTCCAAAGACAATGACCCAGCCAACCCCCATTCTTTTCCCACCACCCAATCACTAGCCAGATGGTTTCCCAGTAAAGGATGGAGAATTATACAGAGAACACTATGTTTTTAAAAGCGGATTGATTCTTATTAAAGTAGACTGTGTTTTGGTTTTTGAGCTCTGAATATGATTCGGAGCCACTTTGATGTTTGAATTTCTAACTTAATTCAGACGACTCCCTCCACCGTGCTGCCCACTGCATGCAATAATTCAAATATTCAATTTTCTGATTAGCATAGAAATCTTTCTTTTTTAAAGAGGATTGGAACTCAAAAAACCCTTTCAAGCCAAAGTCAAATACCTTTGAGCATTAACTGTAAAAACAAAATCCCTAAGAAGTGCGGGCAATGCGATCAATCATCTTACTGAGTGGAGAGTTAAAGGAGACTCTGGAGAACTGTGTGGACTCTCCATAATGGAATGGATATTAAAACCATCCAAGTGAGGCCAATTTATACCATTTTCCGAGCCATTGTTCCCCTCACTCGACGCATTTAGCCTGAAACTTGGAGTAAACCAGGGTGTGGATCTCAGGCTTGCTTTTCTAATGAATGAATGCTCACTTTTGCGCCATTATCAGCCGTCCTGTGTGTTCATCTGCATGCGTGTGCGAGCGCCTTTATGTACATTGAGTATACGCACGTGTTTGCATGTAAACAGCCAAGTGTTGACTGGATGAGCTGTATGAGGCAGATTAAAATGGGCTCACTGCCGGCTCATTTCCATTCCCATCTGTCTGCTGACCTCTCCTAAGACTTGAAAGCTGACAGGGTGAATCTCTTTGGTCCTTCCTGGGCCTGTCTGACCCAGTCAGTCCCGATCCAAACCACCCCCATCACCTAAATTAAACTATCAGTCACATGTAGCATGTCGTTCGAGCGCCAGACATTTCTACATTTTGCCTTCAAGTTTTATTTGAATTCACCTACTCCAACTTGTCCTTGGAAACATCTTTCCTTTGAAAGCATCTGGCTAAGCCCCTCCTTTTGTCCCCCCACACAGCCAGCCAGGGACGGCTGGCCAGAGCTCTGTGGCCAAAGCAGGGGCGGCCTGTCAAGCCAAAGGGGTGTCAGGAACTCCCAGGGGTTGTGGCCTTCATTCTGCCAGCGATGACCCTATGTTAAAAGGGTGTCAGCTGGGGCTCTCTCATGGGTAATGTGTGCTAAAGACCTGCCGCCTCTTTTGTCTGAGGGCTGGGCTTTCAGGGGCTGCGAAATGCAGCAGTGGTTCTTTGTGAAGGCCTTGTTTCTTTGGGTGCTGTGCAGATAGGCCTGCAACCGCCAGCCCCCTATGATAGTGGGAAATCCGCGCTTGCGAGACTGCTGTGTCACCGATTTCCTGGTTATGTGCTCAAAGACAGATTGGAGCCTGTGGTGGTGTCTGCATGTCTGATAGAAATGGGGCTGGGAAATAATTCAGTATAAGCATAAGTGGATTTTCAACAGAGTGTTATTGCTGTTATTTGATGACATCCTCAAGCACTTGTAGAAACCTACCGAGCAGATAAATAATAGAAATCTTAAATAATCTTTAAATAGAACATTTTCTCCTGTTTAGCTTTTGTATTTCTAATTGATCTAATGACACAGGTCTCCCTCATGGAAACAATAGTGTTGCTCTTTTGTCTCATGCCATATCAATAGTAACACTGATAGTTCATCATGTCCTTTATAGCAGTGCATCTACACACATTTATTTCATTGTAGTTTTTAGGGAATTAGTGAAAACTGAACGTTTGCCATGAATATCCTATGGCTGTAGAAGTATTCAAATTGTTGCCACGGCCCTCAAAGCACATTACAAATTAAAGTGATAGCTTAATAGACTTTTTAAAAAGTATATCAAACATCAACAACATCGGAAGTAAAGATACTCCCAGCAGGAGAGTCACTTCTAACTAACTACCCAACCAAATTTGCATGAAGACCTTTAAGATTCCCTCAAATTGATTTTGCGCCCAGTGTTGAGTTCTTGCGCCCGATATTTTTGATTTGCCCCAGAACAGTTCACGTGTAGGTGCAGAGCACACCCCCACTGCATCAATTTTGATATTTTGATGAAGTCTGGAAATGCGTAAAATTACAGTTTTCCCCAGACTAAACCATGGAAAATGTTATCTGAAAAAAAAGTTTTTCTGTTTTAGTCAATGTTCTAGTTGAGGGGTATATCCAAAATACTAAAAATTTCGTCAACCTGTTATCAAGCACAGTGTTGTGGTGATTTGTAGCAAATTGTTACATGCAATGCAAGTCAGTAAGGCAAAAAATTGTGAAAAATACAAGACAAGCGGTGAATTCAAGAATCTTAGACAGAATGATCTGCCAGATTTGATATCTGCTCATTTTCCATGGGGGCTGTTTTGCTGCTCTCGATGACACAGCACAGCACTAATGTGCGAAAGACTTTTCGTGCATCTCGTGGAGTGAAGGAGGAAGATGATTAGTGTCGATCGGTGCTGATGGGCTGAGGGAGGAGATGAGCACTGGCTGTGACTGCAGTCAACAAGCCAGTCATTCAGGCGGTTGGTCGGGCTGTTAGCGGCAGAACAGATGCCTGTATTGAGTTAGCGTTATTCCACAATCATCATCAATTCCTCCTCGATCACCTCCTGATTTCCAGCTCTGTGATTAAGAGTCAGGCCCATCTGGTGCGTAGACAGGAAATCCTGGAGTCTGCATCTGCTGCTCGCTGAGCTACTAAGCTGCTGCAGTCAGGGGGCTTTAAACTCTGTTAATCCCACATAACTCCTGGAATGCAGCGACCACAGTGCACATCAAAACCATCATCTTCGCTGGACAACTATTTCAGAGAGACCCAGACTCTCTGCTCTCTCTCTGGCCCGCTCGCAACGTCTTCACAATTTATAGCCTCTCCCTTTGGAATTTCATAATTAGAGCATGAATTAGACATACCACAAAGAGTGCATTATACAGAGAAACCAACAATGCAATTGCTCATACCAAATCAGAGTGCTCGTCTGATGGGACTTGGAGGCCAAAAGACACGCAAACAGGACTCCAATGTTTATCCCTTTAAATCATCCCTCTTTAATGACCTGCAGCTCCACAAAACTGTTAGACCACATTGGAGATGTGCTAATGGAGCTCCAGCCAGAGCAGAAGTAGGCCCTGCTGGTGCCATATGACAAATCGGCATGCTGCTCTCGCCTACAATCCGCCCACCAAACACCTTCGAAGCTATCAGGAGGATTAGCTCACGCAGCTAAACCAAACAGACTGCTCAGTGTTCAGACAGCATTTGGGCCAAATCTTGTTCGTGCCTCCTGTTTTGATGGCTAGCAGATCGCA